CAATGTGGCCATCGATATGTAAGGGCACATACTCAGCGCACCCCCAGGGGTCTGCATTGCAAATTTTCCCCCTCTCCTTCGAAACTTTTCAATTGTTTTCAAACATCGCATTTTTTCTTTTTTCTCGTAGACTAATAGTTAAGCACATCGGGGGACCTCCTCTCTTCTTTCTCCTCATGATATATGCCAAAACTGTTTTAAATTGCGTCTAAGAAGCGTTAAAATTTAAAATTTTGTCGGGGGAGGCGCCCCATCTCTACCTCCTCTACCGGTAAATTTCACCACTAAACACCCCCCCCCCCCCCCCCNGATCCAGAGGAATGAACTCTAGTGAAGCCGGTACCGCTCCAAAAATCCTAAATCTGGCTCTCCGAAGCAGTTTTGCTTTAGACCAGTCCGTAGCCACTCATGGGGCTTGCAGGCTGATTGTTGAAATTGATAGACAAAGCGTTAGAAAAAGAAGACACGAGGCGTACATTGCACATATTTGGCATGGAATAATTTAATTCTCGAAGACAACTTTTAAACCGGGGATGGAAGAAGGGCCTGAGGGAAGGAGAGCATCGTGCGAGGTCTCTAAGTTACGCTGATTCTACGAGCTCATTGTTGAAATTGATGGACAAAGCGATAGACAAAGAAGCCGTAAGGAGTATGAAGCGATCCTATTGGTTGAAATGGGTGGTTCTTACAGACTAAGGGAGAAAATGATGGACTAACTAAAAGGTTTCTCGTGGGTTGCCGTTAGTTAGTCTCTGACCTACCTCCTGCAACCACCCGCTTCCACCAATAGGATCCCTTCATATCATTTTCGTCTTATTTGTCCATCGCTTTGTTTACCAATGTCAAGAATCAGCCCGCACTGCTGTCCGCATAGACACCATCGTAGGACTCTTCAAGTTGGTAGTGGAGGTAATCGTGACTTAAATTGGCAGGCAAAGAAAACTTTAGCTTCGAGGACTTTGATATTTAAGTGTTTTGGTGACAGCGACCACACGCGTGGAGCGTGGCAGGGATCATTTTTTGAAGGAGAGAGCGATGAGGGCTAAGTTCTTACGGTCACAACTTTTCCGTNGGGGGGGGGGGGGGAGCCACGTATTTCCAGCTAATGATGGCTGGTGAGTATTTTTGGACACGTTGCCAAGTGGAAGAACCCGGAAGAACTTGTACTTTTTTTGCGACAAGTGCAAGATCTGCGTAGAGTACCTTTATAGACAGAGTATGGCCATTCGTATCTTTTTACTCTAGGAAAACTGTTCCGGTTTTTGATTGGTTAACGAGTTTTTAGGCTTCATGATGCTCTTAGGGCAACGAACTACACCTCTAGAATGGCCGACCAGTGTTAGAGACCCGGAACGTTTTGAAGTTGATATAGGTTAGGTTTACTTGGGCTCACACAGCAGGCTGCCATCTAAACCCATGTCAGACGCTGCCCACATTTTGCCGAATATTGTTGAATAAAGTGATAGCAATGAAAAGATTGCATAATAATCGCACCTCCAAGGATTTTCTTAACTCAAAAAATAGGAACTTTGAAAGCAAACCTCAAAAAAAATGAAAGTTTACATAGGTTGAAATTTTCACATGTAATCCTTATGGGCAAGACGCAGCAGAATTGGAGATTGAGGTTAGCTATACTTGGGCTCCCACCCCCCTCCTGCCTTCAAAAACCGGCCCTTGCGCGTTACGCAGGTTTGCTATCTCGCGGCCATTCTAGAGGTGTAGTTCGTTGTCTTAGGGCCGTAAATAAACAAACAAGATGGCTACTCACCGTAACATCGATAAGAAGCTAAATTTGACAAAAATTTCAATTATACGGCAGTAACAATTTAAACTAGCATATCTACGAATAACACACGAAAAAAAAACGAAAACATTGTTAAATCGCCTTTCACCTTTATCACAGGAGGATGTAAGATGTGCATAACCTCAATCTTGCTTGCTGATAACAGCCATCTCGTTTGTTTATTTACGGCCCTAAGAGCATCGTGTCAGCCTATTCGCTCGCGACCAATGAAAAACCGGAACAGAAATGGCCATACTCTGTCTATAAAGGTACTCTAGATCTCCGAAATCTAGTATCTGTATCCGTGACATTCCAGACGGTTGGAGGCCAAACGGGGACCGATCCGGCGCGGCACAGTTCGTTTCAAAGTCGCAAGCTTCTAGAAGGATTTATTTTCTCTTTCGACAATGATGCCAAAATCGCTTGACGCACAATAGTATTGATGTAAAACAAAGGAATTCTCGTGAAAACTGGCAACATAATAACGCACTTGACTCGATTAATTTAAAGTATATGGAAGCGAAATCATACCAAACTCTCATTACCTCCTTTTCAGTTCTAGCAATAAGACAGCAATGTTACAAAAAGCTTTAAATGGACCGCGTTAAATAGAAAGGAGCCAAGCCACATCAGCTTTTGCCAAATTTAATTGGCTAATTTAATTTTTCACTTGAAAACAGTTGTGCGGATTTTCGTGCAAATTTCAGTGAATTTTTTCCATAGCACGAAGCAAATTCCTTAACATTTTCAAAGGAATATTCACAAACGTTTTCTCGTAAAAAATTAAATTGCCCAGTTAAAATTAAAAACGCCAATCAAAAGGGAAATCCAAAACTAACAGAAAAAACAAAATGTGCGGAACAAGAGAAAATATAAGGAACCAAACCTAAAATATTAATAATCAGGATAAATAAAAATAAAGAAATAAATATAAAAACTCTGACTTTTATTTTATTATAATGATAAAAATTAATAAATTCAGTAGTTTAATAGCTGATGTGCCTTGGTTCCTTTCTGTTAAACGGGGTCCAAATGAGACTTGAACGAATTTTAAAATAAATGAATGGAAATTCCTTTTACAGTAGAGCGTTCATTTGAAAAAGAAAAGGAAAAGGGGGGGATGGTTATTTACCTTGGAATTATCTTAAATCCGTATTCGTCCTGTTAGGACCTTCAAGTCCTTTCGTGGTAATGAAGAACAGCGTACCAATCTGATTGGATTTACGTGGTTTGTTGGCAAGGTAATATATCGTCGCGTCGCGGCTAAACTTGGAAACGGCGCACTCAGTCCGCGAAGTTGCAAAATTTCCTCAGTAAATTATTTCAAAATTTGAGGATTAAATAATTAACCCACCTATAACTTTCTCAGAAATACACGTGATTTCTCTTTTCCGTTTGAGGAATGGTCTGTGCACATTTCAAGCGACGAGGTTGATTCATTTTCCTACGAAGAAGTAAAGGACCTAAGTAAGGGAGTAAATGCTAAAAATTTTCGCGATCGAGACACCTAGTTTACTAGCTCAGTCGTCGATGTCAAGATAACAATAAACCAAACCGGCAACAATGATTCCGTGTCTAGCGCATTCGGCCCACATAATCTATGTCAGCGTGAATGTCAGTTGTCGCCTTGCCAAAAAGATAGATTGAGAGACGAAAAAAAAAAATAATCATAATAATATTATATTAACGATTTCTTGTCTCTGGTCCTCTCACTTAAAAGTGGGTATTGAATTTCAATAACACGACAAGAATTTCGCACCGATCGGGGGCAAAATATTTCGCACGACGTCGCGACGTCGTGGTATGCCAGAAGAGTGTAGTAATCCTCACTCTGGAATACGAATCGGAGGACTTTTGAGCAGCACGGACTAACATTCGAGTGCAGTTGCTGCTAACTTCCGTTACACGGCATTGTACCAGTATTGTATAATGTGATAGTTTCTGTCGGACTTCGCCTCTATTTTTGCCTGTCGAATAACTGGACTGCATCCTGCAATTTGGACCTATAGATTCTAGCCCGGTTTAAAAACAACGCATGTGCCATTAGTTTCCCTATGCACATAAGTGTTTTTCCAGAAGAGCCAGAATTTATAGGTCCAAATTGCAGAATGCAGTCCAACTGATGGAACAAGTCGTTTCTTTAAAATTAGGCATAGGTGTAGTCCACAAAAATAAAGTATAGGCATCTCAAATTTCATGGTTAAGAGATAGGAGAAGGTGTTTCGTCGATTCGGCTTAAATATTTGAAAATAAAAAAAAAAAATGAGCGGGATTCCTTGAGGTCAATTCCTTATCAACCCTGCGGTCCCTGACTTCGTATGGCTAAAACAACAGATCAAAGCCTGGTACGGATGGTGTAATGCTGATTTCCACTGTGCGCGCAACTAGAGGACTCCCCGCTAATTTGAAAAGTGGCGCGTCAATTTGTATATTTTGCCGCGCGCGCCATCAGAATTGGCGGGAACCAATGAGAGTGAAGTTTCGAGTTGTAGTTTGTATAACTTATTGATAGAGAGCGCTGACTCTTTTGTTGACACAAGCTTTTTGTTTATCATCGTTTCGTTATCAGTAATTCAAGCCGCTATCAGTTCTTTAGTTCTTTATCAGTTCAAATTTGCCGATTGAATTAAAAATACTTACACATTCTAACTACACAATGCATTCTATACTTTTCAACCCTTCATCACAGGGTTTCCAAAGGGTAGTGGTGAGTTCCTATACAATCATTTGCCATACTTTGCCAAGTCTATTGATTGGGAGATATCCATAAGTTGTATGTTTCAAGAACATAGACTTACTATAAAATCCTCCAAGGTATCACAATTTTGATGCTTTATTCCCAAGTGCTGCACAGGACTGTTCTCCTCATAAACACTCTTTGCATTATGTAATCCTGGATAGTCTGAGCAGTAGCTGCAGACAATCATCTGATACCTAAGATATCATTGGGTTATCATTCGGCCGCAGCTAAGACCCAGGGCTGCAGTACGCACGGACAGATCCTAAAAACATTGGAAGAGGGAATCAACATTTATCGCAGGGTTAAAAGTTTTGATCCTGTTTTTCTTGGTTTGCACAGAGATTTGTCGTGCTTAGTAATGCATTGTTATGTGCGGTCAACTCCAGTAACTTTATCACTAATACTACACTACTACTTGTCTATACTTGTCCTCATTCTCAAGGAATATCTAAGATTTGGTACCATTTTATGTTACAGATTTTTTTTCACCGGGCAGTAGGAACAAAAAAAAAGCAAGATGGACGCCATCAAAAAGAAGATGCAGGCCATGAAAATGGAGAAGGATTCCGCGATGGACAAAGCGGATACCTGCGAGGGACAGGCCAAAGATGCCAACTTGCGTGCTGACAAGGTACAGACATTTTAGAAAAAAAAACCATCCAATAGCTCTTGGAAATGGATGTTCAAAGGAGAAAAATTTTATCAGAGAGGGAACGGTTTGCATTAGAGTACCTGTATAGCGAGAGTTTAGACAGCTGTGAAACTCCGAAAATCTATCAGGCCCTCACGGATGCCTTCGCGAATCAAGTAAGGGTCCAAAAAGGCAGCCAACCTATGAATTTAAATTACCTGAAGTTGCGCGCACACATTATTGCATTTTTAAAACTTGTTGAACAAAGAGCAAATGATTACAAACAATCACTGTCTTTTTGGGAGTTTTAATCTAATTTCAATGATATGATTATCAACGAGGAACTTGATTGAAACACACAACGACTGCCATTTTGCAAGTTGCCGATCTGGATGTGAAGGTTGGCAATGACTCGGCTTCAGATATTTTGTGTGGAAATGTTGGCTACATTTTTGGGCCGTAAGCCCTCCATGAAGTGAGCTGTCCATACACTTGCTGTACAGGTACTCCAGTTTGCAAGAATAGCAAATTAAAGAGATAAGCATTGCTGTTATTTAGTACTAAAAAATTATCAAGATCAATATTATGCATTGCTTTGTACCTCTTCATTCATAATTTTATACTGCCATTGGCAAAATTTCATAAAAAGTTACGAAAATTACCATTTTCAATCATATTTTTAATTTTTCAGGAGATAGAAAAATTTTTGAAACATGGAGATTTTAAACATTAGAGCTTACCGGCTCCCAACGTCCAAAGTGACTCTTGTGAACATACATACCTTGGGTACTTGAATTAAAAATGTATAATGTCCAATTTGCAATTCTTACTCATTGTAAGGGAGTTTCGGTAAATTTATCTTGTTTCATTTACTTAACAGCAAAAGTTCCTTGCCTGTGATTGAATAATTATGTTTTTCTCTATCAATCATGAAAATTTCGATTTTAAACCATATCCAATCTAACCTATGGCTAAAATATCATCTTAGTTCCGACAAAAATATCTCTGCAACTAACCAGATTTTTACGTTTTAAATGCACCATGACCTTTAAATGACTGGTGCATCGGAACAATAATTCTTAAACCCTTTTCACAATTATTATCTGAGCTTTCTAATATATCTGAACATGCCGTACTGGTTCATTTTACAGGTCCTTGAGGATGTACGTGATTGCCAGAAAAAATTGACGCAAGTTGAAAGTGACTTAGAAACAACCAAGAAGAACTTGGAACAAGCCAACAAGGATCTCGAGGAAAGAGAGAAGGCTTTGACAGCTGTAAGTATTCATTCATTCCTTTCTTCATGGGGCGTATCATTTATTCCCTGCAGAAAATCTATAAGCACTGATTATGGACAAAGATTTATCTCCAAAGTTTTCCGGGGGGGGGGAGCCATAAACTGTCAAACAATTATGTCATGAAATTATTCTCTTGAAAACTCTGGAACTATTCAGTATTAATATTTTAATGGTGGAACTTCCAAACCACATATCCCGGTTTGCGACATTACAGACTTCTTGTCATACTTTATTTTTTAAATGGAGAACTGCGCAACATCAATTCTTAAAAACGTCCATAATTGATCTTCTCTGTGCAAAGCAAATTCTGGCAAAGCTTCAAGGAATATTGTTGATGTGTTCTCCTTTAAACAATGAAGCAGGGGCAGCGATTCCCAAACACCACAAATGAGGTACGTGGTTTGTGAATTTTGCCATAGATACATTTTATTCAGACATAGACATAGACTCGAGGCTATGGTGCCTGGCTGGAGACACAGACATGGGAGAACAAGTCGTAGCATAGAACTTAGGAGGAAGCTTAACACTCTTATCATACAAATAGATCTGAATAGGTAACACTATCTAATAAATTAGAGTATATTGCAACAGAGTATACAACAGGTTGAGTATTATCCTTACGCATAGGTTTTAAGCCCCAAACATGGCAGTTTAAAACTTGAGACTGCTTTTTCTCATATTGTAACTACTGTACTCTCGCTTCCTCTTCGTAGCAGATCAGGACCGGAAGATTCATCCAGAATAGAGGGAGATCTGGTAGAAGAAGGGGAAAATAAATGTATTTTGTATAGGAAGGGACTGGTGAATTTATCCATTACCAAGCATTTTCTGTCATGGAGGGGACTGTTACAGGGAGAGAGTATTGTACTTTCTTTTAATTGTAAACTTCGAATTGTCTTTACTCCAGTTTAATGTAACTTTATTGGCTGGAACTTGTAAAAACGAGCCCTCGTGTTTGTTCTGAAGTCAATTACTCAATTTTAAGTCTTGAGGTCATGAAGGTTCCTTTTCTTGCGGACTGTTACAAACAGAATATAATGACTATGAACAAAAAATCATGTTTGTGATTTTCATTGCAGGCTGAAAGTGAAGTAGCTGCTTTGAACAGGAAAGTCCAAATGATTGAGGAGGATCTCGAGCGATCTGAAGAGCGATCATCCACAGCCACTGCCAAGTTAGCTGAGGCTTCTCAGGCTGCTGACGAATCTTTCCGGTGAGTTGTGGTAGAAATTACGATGTTCAAATGGATGTCAGCATGCAATACAGCTCTCAGTAAAATGCATTTTTATTTTAATTTTAAATGGAACGATATATTTCAATACATCGTTTGCTCTACTCAGAAAATATGTATTACCCAGGAGACTTTCAGTCTTACTTAATTACTTTATCCAAAAACTAATCAATGAAACTCTACTTGGAAATATCTGTAACACCTCTGCTCTCTAGAGTATCTTGTGAAAATTTCAAACTGTAAAGTTTGTTTAGTGCCTCAAAAAGATGGAGGAAGATCAGAAGTTTTGAAAAATTGCAATCAAGTTGTATTGTCACTGAGCTCCTCAGATATACTATTCATAATATATCAATGGCTTAAGCCGAAAAATGCATATCTCAGATTGTGGCGCTGTAAGTCTTTGCGCATGTCTCTTTTTTTAAAGGGAACCCAATCAATTGTTTCTATTTTCATTTTTTGTGAATTTTCTTCACTCATTCTAAAAAATTACACAAAATCGCAAGGAACAATTTTCATCAGTTTTTCCCAAAAAAATGAAACATCATCGGAGATTTTTAATGCTGCAATTGAGATACGCATTTTTTGTATTTAGCCATCGATATTTCGAATCTTATCTTTTGTCAATGACTTTTGGTACCTACATTAACCAAGAGTGGTTGGGGAGTAAACGCGCTGGTCCTCTAAGATAAGTTCGTTTGATTTACTATTTAATTTTTTGTTCATCATTCAAAGTCCATTAATCAAAAAATAAAAATTCAAGAAAAAAGTTCATTCCAAAATTTTTTTGTTACAGTATGTGCAAAGTATTGGAAAACAGAAGTCAACAAGATGAAGAACGTATGGACCAGTTGACCAACCAGTTGAAAGAGGCTAGGTTATTAGCTGAAGATGCTGACAGCAAATCTGATGAGGTATAATGCGTTGAATTTCTACACCAAACTTTAAAGGATGCTTCTCACAGCCATGCTTGCCATGCATCTGATATTTGCCTTCGAACTAAAACCATTCTATGGAACCACCACTTTAATATTTTCCTAGAGAGTTTGTAAATTTTTCTCTGACAGAATACCTTTCAAAAAAGCAATGTAATTACATGTACCTACTGTCCGTACCCTCCGGATACGTCTATCATATTCTGAAGTACGGACTATGTATCCTAAAAAAAGAAAGGAAACAATGCACATGTACGAGGGTAGATTTTTAAGTAAGTTTACCCATTAAATATCTCTAAAATTATTGATTTTAGAAAGAAAACCACTCTGGTTTTAGAACGACCATATCCTCAGCTTTGTAATGAGCTATAGGTTTTGAAATTTGGCAATCGTTGTGCAAAGTAATGGCACATTTTCCACACCCACCTCATATCAAAACGTGCCCACTTTTACCACGCTGTAGGGTTTATGAGAAAACGTAAGTGTAAGTCCGTGAAAAAGTAAATGCAATTTATTCTTTTGGTACAAAAGTAGTGAAACTGATTGAAGACTTTTTACCTTACTTATCAACGTAGTCACCTGCTTGAAAAAGATACAGTTTTACAAAGACAGTCACACTCATGCCAGAAGGGTGAGGAACGGCATACATGCCAGGCATGGGTCAGGCGGTGAAGGACCAAGAGAAAGGGGCAGCACAAGCTTTTATAAACTTGATGACGTCACGAGTGGCGAGACAGCAAGTTTATATGCTATTGGCTGGCTATAATCAGTGGAGCTATCAGTTGCAAGTCTAGTCATTAATATCAGTGGAGCTATCAGTTGCAAGTCTAGTCATTAATTTTATAGGTGATGGCTGGATGATAAAGATGAAAAGATGAAAAGTGGACGAAATCCAGCCATCCCCAATGACTAGATTGAATTTGAATGAAAAAGTTACAAGTTTAAGAAAAAGAAAGAAAGGTATCGTTGCGGTATTAAGGTACATGCAACAGGACCAAAACTAAGTTAATCCTAAGCCTTTATTTGAGTAAAAAACTAAACCCTTAGAAATACTAAAATAGAAGGAACAAATTATAAAATCAGTCTCCTGAAGTCAAAACGAAATAAATCCTGTCTTCTATTGATGAAAAGAAAAAATTGAAAAGTTGTTAATTCTCCTGCGGTGAGTCTCAGTGGTGGCAAAGAGGACCTGAAGTATATCAATGAAAATTTTAAGAGCTTGCGTTTAATTTTTGTCACTGAAAAATTGTGCAAGAAATCTGAAACTTTGCATTATTAATTTATAAGGTTCAAGAATTAAAAAAAGCGTTGTGTGTAAAATTGGCATTGTCGACGTCTGCCACTGTTACAGACATAGCCTCATATTTCTGACGAAAACTTACAAAATCTGAATTTGAGGGCTGTGGTGCTTTTGTGGTACTTCAGCACATTCCTCTGATACCTATAAGCTAAAAATATTTTTCTGACCTTTGTGAGAAACTTCCCCACGAAATAAATTTTTTTCAACAATATAAGCTAAAAATATATTTTTCTGACCTTTGTGAGAAACTTCCCCACGAAATACATTTTTTTCAACATTTGTTCATTTTTAGCAACTTTTTTTTTATGATTATCAGTAAGTAAATGTTGAGGAATTCATCGATGAAGAGCTTTTATTAATGAAACTAATCCATGAACACATAAAAAAATGTGTGTATCAAACCGTGAAAAAATCTGTTCACCTAAAACCATGAAGCTTTAGTAAAAGGAGTAAAGCTCCGGATAGAAAAATTCAAATCATTCAACTCTGCGAAAAAACTGATATTATTGGAGAAAATTTCAGATGGAAACTAATGTCTCAAATTTAATATTCAGTAACCATCAACTAATGCTGGATAGTCTTTTGAAAGATTTTCATAATATTTTTCTGCTTGGGTCTCATACTGTTAATTTTTCCATAATTGTAGGTCTCCCGCAAGTTGGCCTTCGTTGAAGATGAATTAGAGGTAGCAGAAGACCGTGTCAAATCTGGAGACTCGTAAGTACTCATAAATTAAAATTATCTAATAAAAAAGTTGATTTGATCGATGGTCAGTTCTGTTCTGAGAAAATCAAATGCCATTGTGTTCAGTTGAGTGAGAGATTTCAGTCTGGTTCCCACTGTGAAAGCTAGTTCATGGCTAAAAAGGAAATTTTTCACTAAAGAAAATTTTCAAGATTTAATACTACTTCTCACTAGTATTTTGAAGTGTAAGTTTACTTGCCATAGATCAGATTATAAAATATGTATCAATTGGTCAGTTGCACCAGTCACATAATCATATTTTGACGGATACATTTGTTAAATCAGCGAAAAATAATAAGATCGCTCAACTGTGCTAAGTGAGTTTGAATACATACATGACGCTGAATACAATAATGATTTCCTTCAGGCAGGTACTTTTTTTCACAAGTGCAGAGTGAAAACTTCATGCTTGTGCCTGGATCGGAGGCTCAGCAAAAATTGGAAAACAAATTTTCAAGCAAACTTTGTATTCATACCTGATGATTGAAGCTTATATGAGCTCATGTAAAACTATCCAACCTGTCAAATATTGTGTGCAAAATTGCTGCCTCATTTATAAAATATTCCTCTAAATTCAGATATACTGTAGCGCACTAGATTATTCAACGGCTTTGACCTTAATCTGCATAACTGTATTCGATGTTGCGTAATCTCTTTTCTTGTTTTATTTTTGGTGTAGAAAGCTAAGCAAAATTCTGCCTTTTAAATTTTAATCATGCGAGTATATATCCTTCATAATCTAATGGAAATTTACGGACTTTATGGAGCATTATTTTGCTTAGTTTAGTTTTCAGTTTAAAAATTATAACTTAGAATCATAAATTAGGCAACTTAAGTCCAGTCATGCTAATCATTACCACGCCTTTCACTTGTCCAGAACATTAATGCGGACCTTTTCAACTTTTAACAATTCGCAGTTCACTTGATTTTACAAATGCTCCTCATAATTTTATATGTTTTTCAGGAAAATCATGGAATTGGAAGAAGAATTGAAAGTCGTTGGAAACAGTTTAAAATCATTAGAAGTATCAGAAGAGAAGGTAAATTCACTAGAGCTTCAATCTTAAATTACTTTACAAATTAAAATAAAATTATTCACAATGCTGCCCTAAAAAAAAACCTTAAATACTATTTGTCAGGAACTAAAAGTCCCTGAAAAAATTTCCTCTTGTCTAGCTTCTTACGTAGATGATTACATCTGCTTTCATCGTAAGGACATTGAAGTGCTTGAAAGAGATGGGAAAAAAAAAAAAGAAAAAAAATGAACAGGTCCGAGTGCGATCAATGTTTCTAGCCAGCCTCTAGTTGAACGTTCCAAAATTACATGAATTATACTATGACAAAAAACAGTTCATTTCATGGTATAATCTTTTTCTCTATAAGTTTGTGCTATCAGCCATCTATCAGAGTTTATCAGGTGAAATGAATAGATTTCATAAGGAGAAACTTTTGTCGAATCCTCGGAATCCGTTACTATACCTATTCCATTATAATTGATTAAGTTTAATAAAGTCTTTTTTTCATATGTTGTTAAAAGAATGAATGAAAAACCAATTTTTTCTTTTTCAGGCTAATCAAAGAGTTGAAGAATACAAACAACAAATCAAGCAGTTGACCGTCAAACTGAAGGAGGTAAATTTTCTCACTAATTTATTTATGATCATCAGTCAAATCTCATGTGTACCCTATATCCGAAAAATCTGACATTTGCTAATAAATAATTTAACTTACGCCAAGCTGTGACAAAACTTACAATAAACCCTAAAAAGTATACTCTCTAAAAATTTTCATGACAATTGACTTTTTCTTCAATATTTCAATAAATTTGTCCTTGTCAATAGATAAAACTGAATGAAGTGAGGATGACAGATGTAGAACAAATACTCCTTGTGCTTTTGAAAACACAGGAATCAGCAAAATTTCAAGTAGAATCAAACATAACTCCTATGAAGCGTGAGAAACAGATTAATAGATTGAAATTTTGAGAAAAGACAAAAACTGTTTCAGGATTATCCATTTATTTTCATGATAGTTCCTCTAGTTTGTACCACAACAACCCCCCCCCCTTCTCCTTCAGATTTTTAGAAGCAGAAAGTGTTCAGATATGTAGTCAGTTTCTCGGTTGCTCCTTCATTTTTTTGACCTCTGTATTTATTCACTGTATTCCAGGCTGAGGCTAGGGCTGAATTTGCTGAGAAGACCGTCAAGAAATTACAGAAGGAAGTTGACAGACTTGAAGGTATTATTATTTTCTTTTCAGTTTGCTTTGCAGTTTTTCAATGTTTGATTTGGGAAGTGAAGCACTTAAAACTTGCTGCTCTCTGGTTCCAGGATTTTAGTACTAGTAGCGCAGCACAGGTTCTGGGCACACCTTAAGTTATTAGTCCACTTGGTCTCTGCTCTTAAGATTGACGAAGTTACTTTTTTTAAAGCTGCCTTTGAGAAATAATCTCCGTTGAGGTCATCAGACACTTCTGATAGTACCTTTTCTTTTAAAATGAACAAAAATCTGAGTCTTTGAATCACCTACTTGAATTTTGTCTTTCAGAGGGTAAAGGATCAAGCCTTTAGCTGGTTCAGCAAAATAATGAGGAATAATCAGACCCGTTCATTCTATGGGATTAATAGTAAGGTATCACTTCAGGAGGAATATTCAAGTTTTGAAAGTACAGTCAAAAATATTGATGGCTTTTCAAGGTTGTCAGTCTTTTTTTTAAAAAAATCTCAACAAGATCCATCATATAAAGTTAAAAATCAACTTCATTTTTCATCAATTCATTTTGGAAATAGACAACTCATTTTGGCATCATTTTTTTTAAACTTATGAAACTCGTTGTCAATTGTGATTTAAACAATTCAGCTGTCCTCCAAGATTTTGAAAGTGTTGTAGTGGCTCATTAGTTTTGCGTCAGAAAAAAAATTATCTTCCATTTCATCAATGGTCGTATTTATCGTTCAGGAATTTTTCATCTATATTTTGCAGAAAATAAAATTCAATCTCCCTTTAAACCGTTCCTAATCAATTTGTCAGTAGCCTTTATACAATTCGTGGGAAATGAGGCTATAAAAAATTAAAATTGATTTTGGTATAATTGAGTAAAATGAGGCAAACGTAATCATTCTGAGGATTATACTTCATGTGGCATTTTGTATTACATTATTATTTTTAGGTGTATCACCAATAATTTGGCATCTTTTTTTTTTTTTGGAAAGACAAAATTCAATCTAAAAAATGTCTTGTTTGTAGCGTGATGTATCATATCAATCACCGTGTTAAAAATTTTTTCCTCTTTACACAATATGAAAAAATATTTTCCCTTTTTCCCTAGAAATTGAATTTATTAGTTAACTTGCATTCTTATTGCTATGTAACCTAATTTTCATGGACCAAAAATTTTCACAAGGAAAAAATGTTTATTTCTCTAATTACTCGAAAATGAGTATGTAGTGCTCCACAGACCACTACTGCGGTTTGTCATCCATCATATAAGCAGTGTATAATTTTTAATTGTACGCACAAGACGTTGAGCATCCCTTACGCTGCAGTAATTCAGAATCAGGCCTAGCAATACAAAGAATGAGATTCAGTTTTTTTTTTTTTTTTTTTTTTTTTTTTTTTTTTTAAAATAGAGCAAACGTCTGTTTCTGCACCATATGAATTAAAAGATAACGAAAATATCATCTACAATTTAATGATACCCAATTTAAAAGAAAAGAAGATGCCCAGCTCTAATCTACTTTTCTGTGTTGCTGCTTCTATTTTTTGTCTTTCATATTTTTACTAATCATTCTAAGCGCAAAATTTGAATACTCTGTTGAAAAAGGGATGACTCAAATGTCCTTTTCAGGGATGTATGCTTTGTTTCATAAAATTTTTCTTGTCTTCTAAAGTCCTTTAGAAAAATATTTTGGAGACCTAGGTGGCTATGGCCAAAGAATTTGCCAAGAGCTTTGTCAGAAAATGTTGCTATACTTGTTGAATCTTCCTCTTTACCTATAAATACGAGAGAAAAGAATTTTTGATCTTGTACTTTTTTCAACACAGCATTCAATATCATTGTACATTGGCTTCAATATTCACCGCTTACTTACTTGTAAAAATTTACCTTTTTTCAGACGACCTCTTCCACGAAAAAGAGAAATATAAAGCGATTTGTGACGATTTGGACTCAACATTCGCTGAGCTCACTGGCTATTAGAATTCTAAATCCTACCTCTTTATCCCTGCCCCACTCAAAAAATTCCCAACTTCCCCCTCCATTCCACCTGGGCCCTCAAAGCCTGGCAGTTTCATTTTTCCTTTTTTAAACAACTCTTTTTTGCTTTTTGTAACTTAATATAAATGTCAACTCAACTCTGCTTTTTTCTTTTTCTTTTTTAATAGCGTTCAGTTTTCTTTTTAAACGAAATTCCTTAAGCAAACTGTGATAAAACTAACCTGACCACCACTGCACAATTCCTCACATAATTCTGCAGTGCTGGTGCATCAGTTGAGTCGTTCATCACAAAGAGCATTATTTTCAAATTAATTTTACTCTCTCCGTTTCGAACGCCCACAAAAGCTTCTTTAATTAAATACCATTATTCAGGACCCTAGAGTATAAGTGCAGATTCACATTTATCTATTTCAGTGAATAGTTTACTCAATTTGTGCAACTTTTGGGGTTGTTTGATTATTTTCTATAAATTTCATCAAAAAAAGAAAAATGAATTGAGAAAGAGAGCAGAAGAATTCATTTATTAATTTGTCCTAAGTTTTTTCTCATACTTTACCGTTGAGTGGGAATGTATTGAAATTATCCTCTAAAGCTGATTAAAGTAAGTTCTAAAATGTGCATTCATTTTCCAACATAGATGTATACATAAATAAGGGAAGACCTGTCAAAATCTGATTTCATGAACTATCAGCAAAATATTTATCTTGAATTTTTAGTTATTGAAAGAAAGTTCTTAGCACAACATGTAAAACTTTACAAACATCCCTTTGCCACAAATGCTCTTTTGGTTATGATGCGCTAATTAACTGGTCTATTGACAATGCAGAAATAAGATTGGTAGTACTTAACACTAATTTAAATACTGCTTCAAAGATCGCAGGAAAATGTAACAAGCGTTCTTGAATCTCACCTACTTCTTCCCTCTGTTCTCCCCCATTAGATATTTTTTTTTTAGCTCTCTCTGCTTCTTTTTTTTCTCACCCCTTGACCCATACGTTAACTTTTCGCTGATTTCTCTACTGGAAATTTTATGCTTCATCAACTGATTTTAAGGTAACATTAATTTAATTTCAGTTTTCCCCTTTCGTCCTGCACTTTTCCCCTTCTGACAATGAAGTTATCCAGATGCATGATACAGAGTTAGTTTCTGCAAAGGTGCCAAAAAAATAAGTAAATAATAACTCTATCAGAAAAATAAATTTATCCCTTGATTTGAACAAATATTTGCAGAATCAAATTATTTATCTATCAATTGAGCAAACACTCTGTTGTTTCCCTCATAAATATTTTAAAAAGAGTCAAGGCTTTTAGAGGAATTGCTCATGGGCTTTTTTCAATAGTTTGGAAGTATAAAGACTCAGTCTATTATGAATTGACCCGTCGAAGGATAAATTCTCTCAGGCTGTAATTATATCAGGACAGGTACCCACTCATAAGGGCCTCTTTTGACCTTTAAAGGGGTGTATGCAAAATCGACAAAATTTCCCCCCTCATGGATGTTGACCAAATTTCAGTATGTTATTCCTCACTATGGGATACGCCTTTTCCCAAAATTTCAAGGCCTGAAACGAATTTCTCTCCGCGTAGCAGCGTTGCCAAGTTGAAAACCGTCGAGTTGCATATCTTTTGAACGAAAAGAGATATTGAGGTGCGGTTTGCGTTAAAATTCTCAAAAAATTGCGTTCTTTTGAAATATGTACTCAATTTGATCGTTTAGGTAATTTAAGATTGCAATGTTGCCATTTTTCACACTTTCTTAAGGGTCAATTTTTTTTCAACCCTAGTACATCGTCAAATGCCGGATTCTCGATTCGAAAAAAAAACTGTTCATTGTATTATTCGTACTTTTCCATTTCTTTTGATATNTTTACAGTGTTTAAAAATAGTCTCTCTATGAAAATTTTTACTTTTTACCATCGTTTTTGTATGATAGGGGTGGTATGCCATGTCTGACAAGAAAAAACTCAAGGAAACTCAACTTCAAATAGCTAATACCACCCTTATCATGTGGCACAACTTCAAAACTGAGTTAGGGCCTTGAAGTAATGATGTTAAAAAAGTGAAATTGGCCTCATGGAAAATTTTTTCACAGTTCTAAAATTTTTGACCAATTTAAGGGCCAGAAAAGGCTTTAACCGGCACCTGTTCCTAGGTCTATCAGTCCAGCAATGAATTCCTGAAACTGCATGGCTGCTTTTAAATTAGTACCTGCTGTATCTGATTCCTTGTTCCTTTTTAACCGGCACGCAAAGGGTCGAATGTAGTGACCCGTGATTTTAATTTGGTTTTTTCTACATAGAAGTTTTAGCTAGCGTTCTTAGTGTATTTTCCGAAGGATATACACTATTGTTTTTTACTTTATCTCTCACAACCAATTGAGCAAGTTATGAAAATGAAATTTCCATGAATCCGCCCAAACTATTTTTCTTAGAAATCTATATCTGAACCAGGAAGGGCGCCTCTCTCACCTTCTCTCAGTCACTTCTGAGGTGAAAAAGACGATTCTTCATAGCCTAAAAAATCCACAACAAGCTCAACAATTGGGTGGTCCATTGTATTGCCTAGCACATGTTGAAAATTGCTACTTGATAATTTGATACGAGGGTGAACCAAAAAGTAAGCTGTTGTAGTTCATATCTCAGAAACTAAAAACAGTAAATTGAATCTGTCAAAAGTGCTCGGCACCGCACGTCCATAGCTCTACATAGAGTCCAAATTCTTGAAATTTTACCAGCAGTCCAAAAGAAAATTTACTTTTACGCCGGAATCTTGTGGCGAGTTCCCTTCTAAAAATATTGGTTCCAATATGTAAACAACGTTGTGACTATGGGAGGTACGCATTGCTTGTCACAGTAACTGTAGGTTTTTTTCGCAAAAAAGCAGGATAGTAACATCCTTCTGAGGGTTTTTAAGTTTTGTGTTCACAAAATCACCAAAACTATAGACGCGGAGTCCACTTACAAGTCTCTCTGAAAAAATTAAAAGAAAATTTGTAAACTCTCACAGATCGACAAACATACTTATCACTGCTAAAAGTTACATTTATGCGACTGTACACTGTGCTGATTAGTGCTGGAGAGCCATAGTTATCAGATTGTGCCAAAAATTAACATGATTCTTAATATGACTCAATGTGAAACTTACTGACTTTACTGTACAATGTGGCAACCGTGTGAGAAACAATTTTTCAGAAGAGTAATTGGACCGCATTTAGCAGAAAGGAACCAAACCACATTAGCCATTGCCAAATTTAACTGGGCATTTCAATTTTTTACCAGAGAACAATTGTGTGGATTCTTTTGAAAATTTTAAAGAATTTTGCTTCGCACTCTACAGGAAATCCTGTGAAAAAACTGAAATCCGTAAAATTGTTTTCATGTAAAAAGTTAAATTACCCAGTCTTATTTGGCAATAGCGGATGTGGCTTGGTTCCTTTTTGCTTAACGCGTTCCAATTTAAACGCTATACCTAGCTGTCCAAAAAATTTAAAAAGCAAGGAGTAAGTTCCTGATTCAGAGAGAGCATCGGGAGGAAAACAAAAATTTAAACCAAGGATAGAGAGAATTTTCTCCCTTTTAAATAGTTTTCTTTCAGCTTTCTCATATTTTGTGTCTTCTTCTTTCCTATTTTTATTTTCTTCAGACTGTCTTTGCTTTTTGCATGAATGTAAAACACTTGTATTCGCGCTATAAAATTACTCAAACTACTCTTGATAGCTTTTTGTGTCTCTGTAGAACCAAAAATTAAAATTAATTTTTTTGTTTCGCAAATATTTCATATGTAATGCACCTTTAATGTATCAATGGAGTCTTTAAGTGGATCATCTCAATGCTGATTGCTGACCCCAGAAAGAAGGATATTTTTACCTACTTTGCTAAGAGGAAAGTGTAGTTGTATGGCCACTCTGGTTTCTTAATGAGCAACCGTGTTTTGTTCTCAATAATTTGGTGAATAATGTAATTTTCTGTTTTTCAGACGAACTTGGTCTCAACAAGGACAGGTACAAGTCTCTTGCCGATGAAATGGACTCCACTTTCGCTGAACTGGCTGGTTACTAGATTCAACCCCAGATCCATCTACCAACTTCATTATTTATTTTATTTATTTATCCTAATTATTCTTCTGTTTTGTTTTTGTTTTTTTCTAAAGAATCTTTTATCTATTGTCATCGTCATAATATATTTTGGCTAAAAAAATAATTTACTAATTTTCTCTTTTCTTCATCTTCACCAATTTTTTTTCTGGTCAACCTACAATTTGACACGTTGGACTCCTATTCAGAATGAACTTGTTAGCTTCAGACGCAGACTGATCTATACGTGGAGCTTATATCACCAGAAACATGTGTATATTACAGAGAGACATACATGTGTCTTTGGTCGTGTATATAAACATAATCATTGCTCTTGCACTCAAAGTGACGTGCTCTCAGTTCATTCGCACTTATCCAGTCCACTTCGTTTTTTATTTCTTTTCTTATCCACTTTTCAATGAGCGCAACCACAATGAAAGTGAGCACACTTTATTTTACTAGTTATATATTAAAAATAGGAATGTAAGTTCTAGAAGTAATAATTTTTCTAAGTTAGGTAGAGTTTTTACATTTAATGATCGAATCAATGAAGAGTACTTCTAGTCCCTTAAATTCGTTTCTGAGCAACTTGAAACTCAATTCATTGGGAAATTAGTCAAGTAGCGAATAACCCTTGTATAATCTGTTACCAAATTGTAAGTTAAATGTACATATTTTTATGCTGCCTAACTCTGCCTCTCCTATAGCTAGTCACCTCAGCCGTAGAAAACGTTGAATTTTTCGACATAGTGCCTTTGTATCATAAAACTAGGTGGAAACAGCCTTATAATATCTCCTTACTTTAAATATAGGTTTAATCATTAGGTGTATGAGAATGTGTTGTTGTAGGTCAAATCTAATTTGAGCTAATTTTAAGATAGTGATTTTTAAGAGGTTTCTAGTTGTTGGTTTTTATTGTTAATATTTACCTCCAGTGTTATCTTAATGGCAAACATAGTTTTACCTACAAACAAGTAAGTGTATAATATTTTGTCAACTCGTTAATTAAATTGGACTTAAGTAGATAATTTTAGTGAATTCTGCATTGAAGAATTGCACGACATCGATTTTAATTTTAAGCGCTTCTTTGCTAACATCAGCAAGAACTTTATGAGGTTATCTCAGGTGCTTGATTTACTATAATAACTTTGACTAACAAAAACCGCAATCTTTGGTTTCTGAAATTGTACGAAAATTTTTTCTGACCGCTTCGGAGGTTTCTTGCAAAGTGGATCCTTCAAGAAAATTTGTATTGAGGAGGTTCAATAAATTGTTGGCTTTGATATTAATACAGTGTGTTCTCATTTTGCGATCAGTTTTACCTGATAGAGGAAGGTCTTTGAGTAACATTGCATGAGCTCTTTAGACATGTAAGAAAATTGCTCTGTTTCCACTAAGCTGGCTCTGCAATTCATGATGAAATATTTTCAATCGAATGTATTCTTGTGAGAGGAGTCTAGCTCAGAATTTTGAAAATTCATTTTACTGCTGGAATGTTATTTACAGGGCCAAACGCAACTTCGATTTTTATGTTTTTTTTCTTATGGACTGTCCATAAACTTTATTTTGACTAATTCGAATTTATTCAAAAACTTTCTGAAGTTGAACATCGCCCAAATTTCTAGGATAAAGAAAGCCACCGAGTATTATTGCTAGATTGTCTCTCCATGACAGTCAGACGGACTAGTGGCAGAATTGCGCTTTGATGGTTTCAGTTTGTAGATCAGCAAAAATTGACCAGATTTGTCCAAACACCAAATGTATCTCGTCTAATCCACAGAGATATTGCCCATCAAAAAACATGGCGTACGACATCTTTCACCGCAATAGTGCATGCATAACCTGCAACATGGTTTCTTCTGCGTTTTACGTCAAGCAACCGGTGCAAATGTGTCCGACACTGGCTGATGAAAACAGAGAGGAAGAAACCACCGTATGTACTTCTATGGTGGATGACTTCATACACTATTTCTTTCAGTGACCGATATCTCTGATAATATTGGATGTAAAACATGGTCTTTGAACAGATGACATTACCTTTTTTCTATTCTATGAACTTGAACTAAGAGCAATTCTGTGATTAGCAAAACTGACTCATTCGAGAAAAATTACATACTGAAAATGAAACTAAACATTCATGAAAAAATATGTTATATTAGGTAAAAAAGGAACATTTGATACACTTGACACAAACATGAACCATTCAACATTAATAGTAACTTACAAGAATGAATACTGCGTAGGAGCTCCGAAATTCTGTTTGAATATTAAATTTTCAAAGTATTAACAAACTTTACATGTTATCTAGAGAACAGAGTGGTATGAGCCCCCTGCTACTTCATACAGATATAGGGCTGTGCGAATAGCGAATTTTTCAAACAAAGCAAATAGCGAATAATTTTGCCCATTATTCGCGAACAACGAATAATTAAAGTCAATTATTCACAACTGCGAGTAGTAAAACAAATCATTTAAAATTACTTTTTTTAAAGGCGGAAATTCGCAAATATTACCAAAGTCGACAAGTAGGTGTGATTAATTTTTATTAGAATTTTCTACTTGCTCATACACCAGCACAGAAAACAATGAAATGCTATGATAGTAGCCTAGGCTGTTAAGAATGTGTTTGCGATGTCTTAGTTGGAAGTCTTGCGCAGGTCCTCGCAACGTTTTACGATCGCCACTCGAAAATTCGTTATTATTGATGGCGTGAACATCTAAAAATTCGTTATTCCAGACGGCGAGAATATTTGAAAATGTTGGTTTGAATATTCACTGTTCGCAATTGCGAGTAGGTCAGACAAAGCGAATATTTGCCCAGCCCTATACAGATTTAAAGGAACAATACATGTTCCCAAAATTTGAGTATTTTCCCTGATCTGCTTTGATTACTGCACTTATACTGTTTTCAGTTAATCGATTACATCTGAGGAAATTACTGCGTTACAATGCAATCCTCCGATAATTTGTGATAATTTACCGCAAGCCTTCTGTGTGACCGAACTGAGGTTCTACACTAAGGTTCTGATGTTGCAAAGGTTTTCCAACGAAATTTGTGGTGTACGCACTGGAGGCAAAGTGAAAGAAATAGAAGATAAGTGAGGTCAAAAATATTAACTGGTTGATGAGGAGGGTTGATCTGATGCTTGCGTTTGTTTATCACCGGCTAGTTTGACATGCTGTTTCACAAAATTCTTGAATGACTCTACATCATCTGGATCGTCATCATCGATGACTGAAACAAAAGAGAAAATATTAATAATGAGGAAATGATGGGGCCCTTTATGCTCCTGAAAAGACCTTATTCTAACAATAAATTGCCTGGTCCCTGGAGCAGAATGTAGGTCAGAGTGCTCTGAGTGGGGCTACAGCATGAATTGAGTGGCAAAAAAACTCTGTAAAAAACGAAGTAACAGACCATTTCGATGGTGGAACTGCAGAAATGCCTATCTCGGTTTGCGGTGTTGCAGACTTCCTGTCATACTTAATTTTTTACATGGGAATCTAATTAACATCTTTTCTCAAAAATTCCGGTGATTTTCCTTTTCTATTTGAAGAGTATTCTGTGAAAATTTCAAGCAATAATGTCGATTTGGTCTCCTGCTAAAAAATAAAATAGTAGCGGGGATTTTGAAACATTGCAACTGAGATACGCATGGTTGCAATTTCACCACTGAATTGTACCACAGACAAGAGGCCGGGGGGAGGGGAGCAGCGACCCCGGGGGACCAAAGTGCCAAAAATTAAAATTAAGATATTAAAACTAGGAGTTTTTTGAGCACTTTGACACGACAAACAGCTAAAACTGCCAAATCAAACTAGCGTTATTACATCTGAAGTTGCAGTTAAGGAGAAATTTCGAGAAAAAATTATTTTAGGGTTTAATCTGTCATGCATAGAGCTTGAAATTGTCAGACTTCAATTTGACACTTACGTAAATTCAACAGAACTTAATTGGCACAAAAATCAACAAAACTGTGCAGCTGATTCTTTGTGTGAGGTCTCACTAAAAACTTAGATTTGATTCTTGGACCAAACGTCTACAAGAATTGCTTTCCTAAACACTTGTCAGGGGCAGTAACATCTCTTGACCTGTGATTTATCTAACCAAAAATAACCAAAAGTGAAGGAAAAGGACATAGTGTCATGCCTGCGAGTTATTAAACGAAAACAAGCACAAAAAAATTGGTAATTTTTTTTTTGTGTGCTGCATAAGTTATGAAACATAGATTAAATCACAAAACTACTGACATACCTTCATAAATAATAACAGCTTCTTCTCTGATAAAGTTTTAACAATATCTTGGCCTTACATTTTGTCTTTCATGATTCTTTTTTTTTTTTTTTAAGATGTGTTAGGCCTGTATTCCTTTCTTGTCTTTTATATTGATTAATTGTATCTAAAAGCTTTGTATGTATAAGCTTAAAAGGAGAGAAAATGCAAACTTACAGTTGTTAATGGGAGGATTTTCCTCTCCCTCACTATCTTCTGAGCTCTCATTGGCTGGGTGCTTGAGGTAGATATCCTTGATTTCTCGGCCAGCGCTCATTGCAGTGACAAGAGACACTGCTTCACCCTCTCCACCCTCTTTCAATACTTCTTTCAGCTTTTGTTCCTTCTCCTCTTTCAGTTCTTTCTCCTTTTCTTCCCGGATTTTTTGCCACTCAACCCTATAATCACTGAAAACGAAGACAACTTAAGAAACGAGGTAACAAGGAAAATGTTCAATTTAAAAAAAGAGCACTTGAAATTTGGTCAAAGGATTAAAAGAAGAATGGCAGATGACTCCAGTAAGGATTGCAGCCAGTAAAAAAAACATTAAAATAAAAGATTTGATGAATTTTCAAGAGACTATGACAGGATCCTCCACAAAAAACTACAGGATTTAGCGCCAGCTACATTCTGTTATTACTTGATAATACACCATACTCGTTCATTGTTGTGTTCATCACTTTTAAAGTTGAACTTTCTCTATGCCAAATAAGAGAAAAGCAAGGAGAATAGTGAATTTTTTGCGCTTTTATAAGCGTTGTCAGATGGAGACACACACTGCCACTGTGTTGGGTGTACAGAACCTTTCGTTCTAAAGTTTGTCTAAGTTTGTTATGTTTTGTACATCAGCTTTTCGGCCAGCATGCTTCATGAAGCAGGAAAGAGAGGCTCACCTGCATCATCAAAATTTTTACTGAATAATTCATGTAAGGATTCTAAAAAATTCACATTTCAATCCTGCTTTCCTCGAAATTGGCACATGGAAAGTTTTAAATGTTTAAGATTTCATTATACTCTGGAGGTTGCAAAGAACATAAATTCAAATAATAAAAAAATTTAACCGGCACCAAATTCCTTGGTGTGCAGGATCCTAAAAGAAAAATGTGTTACAATGTTACGTTCATTTCTCAAGCTGGGTGCACAACTCACACTAGTAACTAAGGCAAAGGGACATCAGTCCCCAAAAACTCCAAATTCAATTACGGTACACATTTAAATCAAAATGAGTTATCTCCGTTGAAACCTGGGCCCTAAGGCCTAAAAGAATATTTCCATGACAGGGCCCATATCGCAGTGGAGATATAGATCCTTTTGAATTAAATATGTTTTACTGATACTAGACCATTGAAGAATATTGCACAAACGTTTTGGGGGAAGAAAAGTTTAAAATTGTTCATTCAAACCGGAGTTATGGCGGTTCGAAGTTTGTAATTTAAAAAATGTAACTTCAAGAAAAAGCCATATAATTTTGAGTGAAAAACCACCTTCCAAAAAATTTAATTCCTTTTAACCTGATCTGACTGCACTTGAGTCCACGCCAAATAAGTTCACACATTTTTAGACTGCAACAGGAGATCCGCCATTTTGATTCTTGCATTCACTTCCAATGCTAAACTAGCACCAGCCGGTCTTCTTTCGCAGTCTATAAGTGAGTAAACTTATTCGGCACAGACTCTACTAGGTGGCTAAAACACCGTGAGGTATATGTACCTATGAGTTAAAGTATAAGCTTTGTGGAAAGCAAACACACTCAAAGCTGTTGAATGATGTTGATTCTATTAATAAAAAAATAATTGATAGTCAATTGCGTCAATAATATCATCAGGTATGGGAGAGGCCTACCCACTTAAATATCAAGAGCAAACCGTAAGTAAAACATACTTTTCAAATTCTTCAGCAGCTTGATCAACCAATGTGAAAAAATCACCTAAACCTTGGCCTGTAAGCGATGAAACTGCAACATGTTTGAGATCCCTGTAAAATTCGTCTAGAGTTAAACTCATGGACCGTGTCAAATTTGAGATGTACGATTGGTCACTTTCCAGTGCATCTTGGAATGCTTCAAAATCAGTCATCCACTCTACAGCATAGCTGGCATCAACAACGTCAGTCTGAAATTATGAGAGTACAGTAGTAAACACAGAAATATGCTAAACCTGAAATATGCTGTCTCAAGGTTAGAAGACAGGGAAAATGAATACGATGTGACCCTACACCGAAAAAAGGATTTTAAGAAAAAAAGCGAATATTTCAAAAGAGTCGTATTCTTTAAGTTAGGCTATATAGTTCATTTTAGTGCCAAGAGAGGGCATGAAATTGCAATTTTGGCAGATTTAATCAACTGTTTTTTCTCAGACATACATTTTGAAATTGCAACTTCAAACCGTCTCATTTATGACTTGGTTTGAAATTTTTAGGGATACTTATTTTTAGACTACAATGTTTGTAAAATTCTCCACCAGGCGACAATACCAAAATCTTAATTTTGTGATTTTTTGCACAAAAGTCCTTTTTTTGGGAACAGTCTATTATAGTAAAAATGTACCATTAAAACTTTATAAAGTGCCTTGATGATTTTCAGTAGAATAAAAGGTTCCATCAGTAAAGATGGAAAAATTTAATTTAACGTGGCTAAAATCTACCAGCTCCCGGAGACTAAATCAGATACTTTGCAAACAGAGAGAAAAAGGTTGAAACCTTTATCACATGATTAAGAGTGCAATGTAGTTTCTTCATTGTGTGATTGGTATCTTTTGCATTATCCTACTGTAGTTAACATAAAAAAGGTAATAAAAACCACTGCAAACTGCTTGGGTCTCTATGCTTATGTTTCATTGAATTTTATTCAAGAACGCCTACAAAGACCGTTGGGAGGCAATGCGTTATCTTGGAATATGTGAAGAGGCAGCTGTTTGAAAATACAGTTAGCAACTGAAATGGTAAAAAATATAGAATTTTAGATGCTTTTATATGCTTTTTATTATGCTATTTTATATGCTTGGAAAGCAAGATCAACTTTTTACTCTGGGCTGCGACCAGACTCAGTCTTCAGATGCAAGGTCTTCAATATTGGATGTGAATGAACCCTAATTTTGAAAATTGAGGTAGCTGTATTGGCCAGGAGTGGAGCTCCAGCACTGAGTCAGATATCAAATATTTGTGTCTGACGCCTACTTTAACAGACATGATGAGAGGGCTTTCAATCAGAGTTACCAGAGACAGTAAGTACAATTCTGAGAATCAGATGCACTTCTCAAACTGTAGGTGAATCGAGTAGCTGTGGAACTGGTACCTAAAACAACCTGAGCAAACCAAATTCATTCTCCAAAAGTTGACTCAATCATACCTTATTCATAACGATGATAAACGGAAGTTTGGTTTTATACAATATTGAACAAGCATAGAGCATATTCGACATAAATGTGACTGGCTTAGTACTTCGGACTATATCCATTACGTAAACAACTACTGTTGGAAATGTTGACGCTAGGGCTTCAGTAATGATGCTCCCAGAGGCAGACCATGTGAAAACTTCTATTTGACCTGGAGTATCAATTATCGCGAACTCATGTTTCTCATGCGCTTTTTCCAACAAAGAAATTAATTGAGGAAATTTGGTGGAGAATAGGTTTAGAGATGTAACTATGGCGCCATTTGGACCAAGCTGATACTGTTTCATTACCTCCTTGTAGTTAACAGTATCTCGAATATCTGAAACAAATAAGTTTTGATTAATTGAATCAATGTTCCTTTAAATACAGTGGTAACAATGGGGCTTTTTAGCAAACAGAACTGTCAAGTACTAGCCCCTGACACATCTCCAAATGATGACCCTTCTTATTTTTGAACTGGAGTCAAGAATCATGAGGCACCATGAATGAAGAAAATGCCCAAACTGGGAAAACATGAGGTAAATATTGAGTTGTGAAGCAATTTTAAGAAATGATCAAATTTTTTTTGCTCAGTACTTTAAAAGTAGTGTGAATTGCAATTTTTAAAGTAAAATCCAACATTTTGCCCTTAAATCAGGCGTTTGGTTGTAAAGCAAATTGTAAATAAAGCTGCTGGGCAAAAAGCGCTGATCTTGGCAAATGGTCGGCATTTTGGAACTTCCTGCACCCTTAATTGTATACCAGTTTGAATTAGTTACTTGCAAACATTTTTTTCTTGTATTTTTAAAATATCAAGTTAGGCTTGTTTTTCTTTAAAAAAATCAAATAGAAGCAGAAATTTTGAAACATTGCAATGGAGATACAGGGTTTTGCACTTTGGCCACCAACATAGATATAAATGAATCTGAGCCTGCACAGCTTGAAGTATCATTTTGGCCAAGTTATGACCAAAATCCAACATTGAGAGGAACACTGTTACTCCAATGTTTCTCCTGATGTTAGTGTTTCCAAAAAAGCTTGCTGCAACTTTTTTTTGAGTTATAGCCGAGTTTGCATTACTTTTCAATTTTTCGTCATCCTAATAAAAAATAAATAAGAAAAAACCAAAATCTAGAGGGAAAATTGATTAGGAGAGTTGTTCAATCAGCAGAGGGGTAACTTACCAATATTGGCTAGGTATGGTACCTCTCTACAAGCTGGGTCAAGGTTAATGACGTATGGTGCAGGTTTTTTGGTGTACAAGAAATTGGTAACTTGTTTCACAAAGGTGGTTTTTCCAGAACCGGCCATGCCTAATACAATCATGCAAATAGGTTGTTTGAGCGGTGAGGCTCTTGCAGGAGCTGGTTGTGAGGCCTCCGTCATCTCTTCATCCTTTTGTTCACTTTCTGCCATGTTTCAAATGCTGTCAGTAAAGTTAATAGAATTAATTGGAGAAGGAATAGATAAGTTAGGTATGGTTAAATTTCTGATGATGAATAAACATTAAATACATGGCTCTTAAGGTTGGATGTTACATTTATGATCCCTCGTACAGTAAAATGTAGATTTATTATGGGCAATGTCCAAGACGAGATCTGAGGGCATGGACAGACTTTGCCTGGGGATCCATGTCTGACCAGTTGGTGTGCGTGACTGAGAGCCGCTGGGACATCAATGGTTGAGAATGGACCGGTAGAAAATAGACCCACGGTATCAGAATTTTCAACCCTGCATTAGCAAATAGGTGAATTTTGATACTATTTATTAATTTTATTATTACAAAACAAATCTAAGTCAACCATGCCAGGTTGTAGTCGATTGTTCAAAGTCGCTCAGGCAATGTCAAAAAGATACTATTATGAATGTTCTTTGGATCTTTGACCATGCCTGGGCATCTTTATTTAACTTGTTTTATCTCTTTTTGACATTGCCTGAGCGACTTTGAACAATCGACTACGACCTGGCACGGTTGACTTAGATTCGCAATCCTGTACTTTGCTATGCTATCTTATGCCTCCTTAGTACATCATTGAAAATGCATTGCTCAAGAACCATTAAAGTTGCTCATTACATATTCATTTCTTCAAATTCGTCAAATGTTTGAGGGCGATTTACCTACCACACTCTTACCATTGACTTAATTATTCAATTTAAGATAAGACTAACAGGAAAGACAACGTGCCAGTGAACTTTTCCGGAATCATAACTGACGTTACGTCCTAACAGTGTTGCTTTCTATGAGCAAATCACTTTTATTTCCAAACAGGATATTCAATCCTCCTCACTCACACTTGCTCCACATGAATTGTCTTACTCTGATACTAGACATTGTGAAATTGTCATTTTATTTCAAATTTTTTTGCAGATATAATGCAATGTTACAGACATATTTATGAGAATATCCAGCACATTATATTTTATTTTGAAACTTGGATTTTGGAACATTTGGAAGTGAGACAGCTGTACATGGCGGTAATATGAGAGCATGCAAAATAGATAATCTTTGAAAGGAATTTGAGGTCACTCCAACATCCCTTAGATTCCTATCGATAGAGGCATTTGCAGCATCCATTCAGTTTCATGACTCTGAATTAAAGGAGTTCATTCAACCACTACCTGACTCTGGAGTTGATCACCTTGGAAAATAAATGAAGTCTGGAACTAGAGACTTTCTTTCCTTACAATGTCTCTATTTGTTTGTTTCATTACCCTTTTGACGAAGAGGGTTTTTATCCTATAATGGTTTACGTTGGGTTTCATTGTAGACAATGACTTAGTGTATGAACGGTTGATGGTGGGGACCCAAGGGCTTTTCAAATTTCCGACAAAATTTACGGGACGAAGGAAAAAAAGAAATTGCTAATGATTCTCTGTAGATCAGAGTAAACCAGAGAAAACTTTAGTACTCACAATAAGATTGTATCCTCCGGCACTGTTATGACGATCACTAATGATGAGGTAGATGGAACAAGTTCCGAAGGGCGAGGTGACTTAAATGAAATGAAAAATTAGGTATAATGATTTAGCTTTTAGTGGGAAAATGCATTCGATAGGAATGGACGCATGAATTATCGAAAAATAATGTTGAAACGAATACAGTTCACAAGGCGAAGGCGTGCAAATTGCAGAGGTTATGTTTTGATTTTGATTTCACAGCCCCATGACGTAAATGTCACATGATTATTATTCCACCAATCAGAACGCTTGTGATGGCAAATCTATTTCTGGTTGCCACTATGTGCTAGAAAATCACTTTTTATGTCAAGTCATGTACAGAATAATGCTAATTTTTACAAAACTCTGGCAATCATTTTCACATCCGAGTGTCCGAGTCATTCATTGACGTATAATACAATCTAGACCGCGCATTGGGCCCGACTTTAGGCGGGGAGGGTAAGACAGCTAGGAGGGTAAAGACGCGCCTTCAGCCTAGTTGATACCGCCGGATATACGAGCTAAGTGTACCCGTGTCAGGCAACGGCACTGGCAAGACTGGCATTTCCACGAATTCCACCATTGTCTCGCCGGTACACTTGCTGTGTGTTGCTGGGTTGCCTATCGTCTCGCTTGAATTTCGTAATGCGCGGTCTAGATTGTATTCAGTATTATACGTCAATGCAAGGTAGATTTACACAGGTATGGACAGAACTAAACAACTGGCCTCTGATTGGCTCTCCAGCGGCCCCTTAACGTCAGCCATTTTGGATGTTTTGATTATTTTGATTTATTATGTTCGGTTTATCGTTTGTCAAAATTTTGTGGGATTTTTTGCACAATTTTGGTTATGCGATATTAATTTTAGCGTTTAAACGCACAAACGTTTGAATGTTGATTTGATTGTAATTTAATTAAAAAACGGGCCCCTTAACCTACGTCACGAGGTCATGTGACACGTACTGAGGCTCATGGGAAATTTTCAACTTTTCCATACCTGTATAAATCTACCTTGACGTCAATGGAGTCATTCCGAGTGTTTCCGTCCGTATTCCGTCGTCGTAAGTTTTGTTTTGGTGTCAGCGCCTGTCGCTTGTCTCCTAAGTGATTAATCTTTAAATTTAAAGTTTTGAAATATCTTTACCAATTAAGTTTGTTGGATTGTTTGTTAATCGTGCGTCCTGTTAAATAATGGACACGTTTAGATAAACATGTAAGTTCTTTATTGTAAGCACTCGTACTCGTACCAAATGCCTTTTCCCAACTTTCTCTGCTTCTTTTGCACTTCAAAATGGCGGACCATTTATGATCGTCCTCGGTCCTATGCATTACGTGTGCTTCAATTTGATTTTTTGTCTTTCTATTCCTTTTTTTCCACCTCATTACTTGATCATTTCGTCTAAGATAACTTCTCACCTCTTAGCTGTGAATATTAATTGACAATGGTCACAGCAATCCAATGCTGATTGCCAGCGAAATCATTCAGACCTTGTCGGCAATTGCCTTCGGATGACCCTGAAGATTTATCTTATATTTCCATGATCTTACTTTTACATTGCTGTTTTTAGTCCCGACTTGAATTGAACGGATTTAATCCTACTCTCATAGTAATTTCTAGGCTCCTCAGCTATCTACCCTGGAGGTATGTAGCAGGAAGGACATGAATGTAGGTCATACCTCTCACTTCTCAGTTTTCAGTTGAGGTATCATATTTGCCTGTTAAAAATTTGCATACCACCAACACCAAGGCAAGTGCTACTAAGGCCTTCAGAATTTGTTGAACGTAAGACTGTTTTCTGTTTAATGCACAGTAGTTAGTTAAGTTTTTGGTACTTATCACCATTAACTGATGCTGCAGGCTGCTACTAGAAACTCACAACACGGCGCTTCACATTATTGAGTGTAGGTAGGGCCATTTATTGTCCTATCTTGCGGACAAAGTTTGAAATAGCCTCAAGAAATGGCCTGCCAGTAACAAATGGCAAGTCTAGGTTTTAGAATACGGAACTAGAGGTGTTATCATAGAAGTTGGCCATTGTTTACTTCCGGTTTGCAAGCGCAAACGACAAATTTAGGCCTCTGCCCAGACCGTCGCTCCCCAATATTCATCTTTAAAACATCCGACTGATGATCGTATTGTTAAAGATCTATTCATCAATCTTGATCTGCAACTTTTATGTGGTTGTGATTTCTTTGTGGCTAAAAATTGAAGTGATACAAGGCTCTAAGGTATTTAAAAACCTATCCAAGCCTGTTTGTTCGCTTCAGCGAGAGACGGATGTTTTGATGTAGACATTAGTGATGCAAAAACGCCCACATACTGAAAGGAAACAATGGCCAACTTATTCGACGACACTTCTAGGCGAAACTTGATTTTCTTCTCAAGCTTATGCATATCACCATTATATCCATTACATACATGTGTTTACAGTATGCAATGCTTTATTTATTTTAACATATTTTTGTTTCAGTCTTTGCAAACTTAATGACCATGAGTGATAAAAACATGAACAATATGGCTCCAAATCCATGGGCGTTTCAGATGATGGGTGGAATGTATCCGCAAATGCAATACAAGTGAGTAATTAGCCCATGTTATGAAAATAAGTACTGAGCAACCAATGTCCTTTCGATTTGTTAAAGGTATAATGGTATTCATTGTGTCAAAACGTCTGCAAATTTGTTTTTCAAGCAAAACATGAACTCTGCTGTACCCTGTAGTAGCGTTGTTAACAGCGGCGTGGCATGCCTTGCGATCTATCGATATTTCCCCATTTAAAGCAGTGGTAAATGATCGATTGTTAAGGTGTTCGACCCTGTTTATCGATACTTTTCATAGGTTTAAATGGCTGATCAATCGATATATCGCAAAGCACGCCACGCCACTAGTTGTTAATGTCCATATTACAACCGCTAAGTTATCCTAAGCGTCGCTGAGCTTAGCGAAAGTGTCGTTAAACGTTCATTGCAGTTCCATCTGATGACCTGGCATTTTGTAAACAAAAGCAACCATCTTGTTAGTGCACAGCGGCGGTCCAAGGCCCGCTGGGTCGCTGACCAACTTTGCTGACAAGATGGCGGCTTTTCTTTACTAGCAAGTTTTCGTCATCGCTAAGCAGATATCTAAAAATGACGGACTGACACCATTTTGTGGATTTCAATTATTAACTTTAACAATGCATATTTTAATCAACATAGGATTAGATTTTTTTTTATTTCAAATTTTTTAGCATTATTTCTTCTTTTATTTTTGTGTACGCTTGAGTCTAAATCATATTTTCCCTCAATTTTTGCATTCTGTCTTATCGCAAACCGATTTTATTAAACCTTTTGCCAGTTTAATGACGTACTTAGGAAACAACATTGATAGCACTGGATTAACGTCCTGCAAAGAAAATATTTTCATTGCAGTAAAATTACATGAGACAACCCATAATGCATAACATAACACACATAAATTAATAGTAGAAACAATGTCTTCCCTGAAATTTACAAAAATCAGCAGCTTTAAGTTCATTAAATGTCAAACTTTGCATCTGCAAGCTTCTCTTTTTAATGACAGTTTCATTTTTCTACCATTTCAGCTACCCGTTCAACTTCGGAAACCGTGGACCTTTCAACCCCCAATACTTCAATCAGGTGAGTACGTTGGTATTTTTTACCTATCTTAAATGACAGACATTTCCTCATAAGTAAAATCTTCATTTCATCCTGGATGCCGATTTTCAAATTTCAATTTTCTTTTTGTCTTGAGAATCAAGTGAAAGTACATAATGAACCTAAGACACACAGGCTTTCTACAGCTTGATAATGTTACTAACTTATATTTTGTAGATCCATATTATTTCAACATTTTTACTCTGCCTTTTAATGCCAAGTTTTCCAGTCTTACGAAGTACAATAGTCTTAGTATTTTCAGTTCATTATTTCTGACATGATTCCCCGCTTGTGTACCTTGTCATCCAGAAAGTGTAAGCTTATAGGACATGGCTAGAAAACAATATTAACTGAATTTTTCTTCTCTTCAGGGAATGGGTCAAAATGGCATGCCAATGATGGGAGCTCCTAATTTCCATCCTGGTGGACCAGCGGCCATGTCAGGAATTCAATTCACTGCTTTTACACCTGGAGGTAAGTTTAGCTGCAACTTTTCATAAAATTAAACGTTAGGGTGAATTTTTAAATTCTTTAATATGGTCTAATATGTCTTTTTTCCCAGAACTCTTTAACAAACATTTTATGTTGGGAAAATGTTGTTTCCATCTTTAAATTCCATCCATCTAGAAAATTGTGTCTCAACATTAGAAGACCCTTTTTTTCTTCTTTTCCTTTGTTCTTTGTTAAATAGCTTTCTGCAAGATTTTCATGTTTGCTTCTTTGGATTTTCAGGTAAACTTGAATCTTTCTCTTCAATTCAGCAACAGGATAAAGGCTCAAATGAGAAAAACAAGAAAGATGATAGTAAAGAGCAACCAAGTGAGAGTAAGGAGAAAGGTGATACTTCAAACTTGCCTCCTCTACCCCCTGGACCCCCTCCGTCAGACTTTGCTAACAAACCCCCTCTTCCAAACAGTGCTCCAACTAACAATCCGTTCAAACCAAGTAAGTGTTAATCTTACATATTGCTCTTCCATATTTGCATATCTTCAATGCGAAAGATATTAAAAAATTACCGATTGCTATCATTTGCATCAAGGTCAGGTAGATGTTTCCTAGAGTGAATTTTATTGACTTCTAAGTGGACCACATTTGGCAATTAGAAACTAATAGTTTTGGCTTTTAAGTAAAAGCACTTCTCTTGATAGGGAAACTAATGGAATATATGTTTTTCTAAAGTGAACCAGAAATAGTAGTTCCTTATCACAAAATGAAGTCCAATTAAAATTAGCAATAGTGTATGCTTCAATCTGCATCTACACCTCAGTAGGTATCACTAGTTCTTATTTTTTGTGCTGTACCTTTCTCTAAAGTGGTATGAAAATTTGTGCCAGTTAACTTAACATTATTCAGTCCTAAATGAAACCCAAACAGTTTTGTCACCTTCTCTCGAAATTTTGGAGTGTAATAATCCCAGAACTTGTCTGAATCAATTATCTGTTGTTGATCCTCCCGATCTGCTGAACCTTTAGAAATGGTTTAGTATTATTTGAAAAAAAATGGTAGCTTGATCAAATCATACTTGCAAAATCTTTAACAATTGAGAGGTCTTAGTCTTAAAACTTTTAGAATCTTAAAATTTGACGATCTGATTGAGCATAAAACCAAATGTGTGTGATTTGACCATTTGATTGTAGCAAAAACCCTCTTGGATCTTCATAATTAATCAACATCATTAAAACATCATAATTAACAAAAACTTAACAAACGAAAAACCTGTTAAAATTTACTTCGAATAATTGTTCTGTGCTTTGACTAATATGCCTTATTTTTTTCTTACAGAAATGGGTCCTATTAGTTTTAACTTTGGAAAGAGACCAAATTTTAACAACATACCCAATGCCTTCAACAATCAGAACCCCCCCAATGCGAACAAAAGCTCTGGTTCCGCCAAAAAACGGAGGAAACGAGAGAAAATGAACCAAATGAAACGGAACAACCAAGATAACATGTCCTCCAACTCGACAATGCCACCTCTGCCCCCTGGGTCCCCACCAGTTCCCCCGCCCCCCTCTCCTCCCATCATAGGACCCCAAAATGAAAATAGCAAACCAATTGTGAAGAATCTTCCCCCTCCCATTGTTGGTTCTGGTACCGTACCTCCTCAACAAGAGGCCGTCCCTGAGTGGCCAGACAGCTTCAAGTTAGTATAAATTTTATTTTATTTCTGTTTAATCTACAGATAGTTTCTGAAGACATCACCCTTAAAAATAGCCTTGTCTTTTTATTTTCTCTACTATTTCAATGCTACAAACTAATCCACCAATTTTGAAAAATGATTTATCAATAGTGCCACTTTATTGGCCAAGAATTCTAAGTGATCTGCACCGTGAAAATAAGTCTTTTAATTTTTTCCTCTTATCTTAAAGTATTAATTAACTTTAAACAGTCTCATTTTGTAACAGATACATATTATCCTTATCAGTTCCCTTCCCCTCAGGGTTATAACCGACACATCAATGATATGGAAACCAGTCTAGTATCCATCCAAGAACCCATATAAGCAAAGAGTCTATCATTGATCCTGCCGAACCTTAAAAATATATACTGAAGGCTTAAGAAAAATTTAATTAACCTATGTTTAAAATATCTTTGGAGATTCTTTTGCTTCTGCGTTTTTAGCTTCTTTTTTTTTGGAAATTCTAATTTCTTTATTTTTTCCTATCAGATCATATGTGCGGAAGTGTTATGAAAAATGTAAAACTGTGGCAGATCGGAACAGGGTGGATATAATATTGAAGAAAAAAAGTTTGAATGCCATGAACGATGGGTCCCTTTATTTCAAAGACTGGGATAACGAACCTCTTCCATTGTAAGTGTTTGCTTGATATATTATCAGTTTTCACAGTCGCAATGAGGTTTGCTTGGTGTAGATGCCTCTTGCTCTAACCTTTCGTTGTGGAGCACTACAACTGGACCGCGTTAAACAGAAAGGAACCAATCCACATCAGCTATTGCCAAGTTTAACTGGGCAATTAATTTTTTACATGAAAACGGTTGTGCGGATTCTTGTGTAAATTTCAGTGAAAATTTTCCATGGTACGAAGCAAATTCCTTAAAATTTTCAAAGAAATCCGAACAAACGTTCTCTCGTAAAAAAATTAATTGCCCAGTTAAACTTGGCAATAGCTGATGTGGCTTGGTTCCTTTCTGTTAAACTCGGTCCAACTTTGGATGTGACCGTAAATTCTCATGCTTTGTCAAAAAATAGAGGAAAGATTCTAAATCAAGATCATTGAATTTTTCCAGTGGCGCGGCGATTAAAAATTAGCACTTAGGTGGCTTAAACTTAAACTCCATATCATGAGAACTTCACTAAGTAAATGTAACGCTCTTTAATTTATTGTTATTCTTATGCATTATAGAGGCTTCCTTATTTAGCTTTAAAAAATCTGAAGACATAGTACCCTTGCACACGCAAAATGTCCAACTTTTTTTTCTTTTGACTTGCGTAGAAAATATGTTTGATACTAAAAAATAGTCAAACATGGGGCTTTCTGTGCTAAGCAGACCCATTCTCAACAAATCTGAAAAAATATTTTGTTTGATTTTATAATTAAGAGCCTGAAATATATCTTTTCAGCCTCTTCTTACACTTAGATTAAGCCTCACACTTTTTGTCCTCATTAATAGCCCAGTCAGGCCATCCTGTGTCAATACTAGGTTATATTTTTGGAAAGCATCAGTGTGCATCTATCTGAATTCACTGCTGTTGTAGTAATAACAAGTCTAAAGCTCCTCTGGTCAACAATGTCAGCCTAAAATGCCAATTTGGAGAAATCAAAAGTGACAGATTTTCCATGTCGTTCGACTGCCCAATGGGTTCCCAATTCAATAATGCTTAGAAAATGACCGATGAGTATAGATGATTAATTTTATTTCTTCTCAATGTGGTAATCAAAACTTGGTCTGCTTTTTTTTTTTCAGGTTAAGTGATGAAATCAATTATTTACCTATGAAACCCTCTTATAAGCCCAACGAAAATAATTTTAAGAAAAATAAAAACGGAATCAACTCTAGTTTAGCCAGTAGATTAGGTCCTAGAAAATTTGATAAATTTGAGAATAAAAAGAATGCTAGAAAATACTCCCCAACTAGGTCCAGAAGCCCTGTCAAGAAACGTAGATATAGGAGGTAAGTGCTGCCTTTACCAAAGTATGTTCCCTCCACTATTCCTTCTATTGTTTTTGTTTCATGATAGACTGGAAGTTCATTACCTCCATTTTTTTGACACTTCCGGGGAGAACTGTTTTTTCTTTTATGTATGTTTAATACAAATCTCAGAAAGGCTGCTTTGTCGGATTTTATCTTTTTTCAAAAAATATTTGAGAGTGATTTAAAAGAGACTGCACAGCATGTAAAGGCAATCATTTCTTGCCTGTAAAATTTAATGATTTTAATTTCCTTGGCACATTCTTTTACCGACAGTTCCATCATCAGTCAATTGCACCAAACTATTGGAACGATTTCGCAGTTCACTCAATACTCGTTAATGCTTCCTAGACTTATTTCAGTATTCTCTCAAACATTTCTTTTCTTATTCTGTGCATTCAATTGTGTGTCAACTAAGTGTAATCAACTTTTATAATTTTTGCAATTTTTGTGCATGGAACTTTTCTAGTGTTGTGACATGAAGACACCTAATGGGCGAAAGTTATCTCAAACCGATTTCTTTTCTAGACAGATTTTCTTTTTCTTTTTTTTTGTCTTAACATGAAATGTAAAATTAACCCCATGTGACTATGTTTGACTCTTTACAGTTCACTAAAATAGGTGTTTATCAGTTAGACTTTTAGGAGAGACTCTTTGTAGAGCTAGCGTTATTCAGAGAAATACGTTTTTTGCTCTCAGAAAATCGTATTGCTACTGAATTTCATCTTCTTTTCCAGCATATTGTACAATTATGGTTTTTTTTAAATTTTTCAGTAGTAGTAGTAGTGACAGAAGTGACAACAGGAGTGAAAGTGAGGAAGAGTTTAGATCGTCAAAAGGAGATAAAGGAACCCATCGGCGAAATGAAAAAGGAGGAAAGTCCCTTGCAAAGTCGAAGTAAGTTTCACCTTCTACTCCTTAAGTTTCCTCAGTGATAAGGTTGATTGAAGGGAGGTTATTACATTCGCCCATTTGTACGCCATATTGATGATGTACTTGTGGGAACTCTAGTGGCATGAAGTTTGAATCGATGTGTCTAAAGCAGACTGAGCGCAAGTGAACACGTGCTTACCGCATGCCCCACGTTCCATGGACCATCTGCTTTTGTTGACCTAACCTAAAACAAGTAGTTTGAGCAGCCAGATTGTTTTCCTGCAAGTACGCCATCAATATGTCCGGATGTACCAACCTCCAGTCAATCAACCTTGCTTTAGTAGGGTACACAAAAGAGTGCGTGCAACAGAGAAAATCCAGTATTCCTAGGTCCTAACTTCATGCAAAAATTTGAAAGTGTAATGAAAAGCACCGAAAAAGTATGGAAAATAAGCGTATCTCATGATGTGCTAAGGCACTTTACAGCAATGAGAAACATGATACAATCAGCTTCTCTATTTAAAGTACCAAAACGCAATTTCTAGACTAGCAATAACAGCACATTTTTTTCATAGGTAACGTTCAAATTGTCTGCCGGGTTGATGTAATGTGGCAAGATATCATTATATTATTCCTCAGTCCACAGGATTTTTTTGACAAAAAGTCCTAGTATTTCAGCTAGTCTCAAAGAAACATGCTTTCCGAACAATACAACAAATTTAACCCTTTCCGGTCCGCAGCAGTTTTCCACGGCCGCGAGAAGCGAGGTTAAGGTAGCAGCGATGTTGTCAACAAAGACAGTGGTTTCCAAAGGGTCCACCAGAGGCCGCCACTTGCTGGAGCAGTTGAATATACCCGACATCAGGCCTGCACAGAGGTTAAAACTTTCGAGCGACTATATCCGACATCGGACCTAAACGCATTATTTTTCACGGCGAATATATCCGACATTGGACCGGAAAGGGTTAAAGCCTGACAAGTCTATTTATGCAGTGAGAGAGTCCTGCAAAGAGTCAACTTATTTTTTCTTTCTTTCCTTGTCTTTACATTATGTTTAACTTTTTTCTCCTTTTCTGCAGGTTTTATACCCAAATGGGTGCTGCAAGCGTCCCTGTAGATGAAGAGCTGCTAACTAAGCGTGCTGCTAGGTTTGGGCATGCCAACAAACAGTCTCCATACTCAAAAAGCCGCAAGAGCCGCTTAGAAAGCAGTATTCTCTCTCCATCTCTCTCGTCTTCCATCAATTCTAGTCTTTTGTTCGAGGATTCCTCCGGTGATATCAGCATACCGCTGGAAAAACATGTTGTTGGCACGTGTCAGAACATTGAAAAACCTTACCTCCGGTTAACTGCGGTAAGTTCTGCCTAAGTCTGTCATAGATTAGATAATTGCAGGACCAATGAATGAAGTACATAATCGATTGCCTTTACATTTTTAAATTGCTTTTTTTCAGTGTCAAATTCAAAATTATCAATACTCAAATTTTTCCAAACCTTCTACCAACCCACAGACATTCACTAACTAGCCTGTTTATCCAACTCTGAAGTCTGTGAGTTTGCAAGCTCGTTTGTCTATATTATCATGTGCCTCTCCCAGAGCCTATATTGAATCTATTTCATTGTTAGCAAAAACCGGGGGTTAAATGCGTTGGTCAGTAGACACAGGTTGGTGACTAGCCGTGGTAACAATAAAATTATCGAGGGAGTCCTTTTTTTTCAGTCTAATGCCACCAACATTTTGCCCACACATTAAGGGAAAAATAATAGGTTAATGTCTTGCAATACAAGAAGTCCTCAAAACTGGATTTCCAATGTAAGATTTTTGTCACAGTTTGATATGCTCTTTCTCTTCAAAAAATTTTACGGAGAGGATATCTGCAAGGGATTAAAATGTATCATAAGTTCTCTTACCGTGGCTTTTCTCGAACTGTCACAGTAAGGTTATGAAATAAACTTGTGAAATTTTTCTAGCCTTTATTTTTATTTTCTCTCCAGCAACCGGAAGCTTGCGCTGTTCGACCTGCCGATGTTCTTTCAAAATCATTAGAAAATGTAAAAGACAAATGGAAAACGCAGCAAGACTATCATTATGCCTGTGAACAATTGAAATCCATCAGACAAGACTTAACTGTGAGTACCACTCTAGATTTTAATTTCTTCTCTAGAAGAGAGTTTTCATCCGAGAAGTTACTGTATTTCAGAAACTTTGCTCGCTTGAAAATATGTTCCAAGTATATTGTTACCCCAGTGATGCCGATGTAAGTCACTTATCGTAGGCTAATTATTTTGAAGGTCCATTGTCTCTAGAATAAATTCTGTTTTTGGTTTCTCCTTAACATGATAGAACATTCAAGGTAACACCTATCACTATAAATTAACATCAGACTAGAAGCAGCTGGGGTGAGTGCAAGGAAGTATGAGGTAAAATGTGCGACCATGATTACTTGGTGTGCAGTATTTTAGGTCTTCATGTGCTCTGTCGTTAGAGTCAGGGAGACTGTTTGTGCGAGTTGTGTGAAATAAGTATAAGTGTAACTGTTCTCTATGCAACAGTGTCTTTTCTAATGGTACCTTAACTTTAGTGTATCTTCTAATGGAAGTACACATTTGTTTGTCATGAGTGTTAAATGTATTAAAGTTGGACTCAAACTGAAAAATTTATTTTGCAAATTGTGGTGGACTTCCCTTCTGGAAGTATAAAGGAATAAATTAAATGTACCAACATTCTCAGTTGTTTGTAATTGAGAATCATAACGCGGACTACCATGGTACCATTTCTCAAGCATACCAGAAGTCCAAGCACCTATTGTAGCGTCTAGGGTTGCTCATAAAAAATGTAATGCTAAATGTTAAAATTTTGGACCCTCAGGGCCTGACGCTCTTGTGGTTTAGATCCCTACCCTTTAAGATGTAAAAACAAAATTGCATATGTTCTCCTCAACCATCCTCCTCCCCTAGAGCGTTACGTATTTTGTGAAAGCTGTTTAGTTCACCTCAACGCATTGAAATTAACATTTTTTGTGTAGTATTGCTAACAGTGAGAAATATTTTTTCCAGTTCTGGTTTTTTGACCCATGCAAGAAACTTCACTGCTCAGTTCAAACATAATGGCTGTGAACTTATCTAAAATCCTATCTGTGCTTGTTGCTCGACCTCAATTTTTTCCCCATTATTTGCAGGTTCAAGGCATTAGAGATGAATTTACGGTGAAAGTGTACGAAATGCATGCCCGCATAGCTCTAGAGAAAGGTGATCATGCTGAGTTCAACCAGTGCCAATCGCAACTTAAGTTGCTCTATTCAGAAGTCTCCGATGATATAGCTGTAAATAAAAGAGAATTTACAGCCTATAGGATACTCTATTACATTTTCACTAAAGAATTTATGGGTAAGTCCACCCTTTTATCTTATCTCTTAGTAAGTAGTAGTAGTAAAGTAAGTAAGTATATCACTTACTTTATGCAAGTTTTAAAATGAATCTTATGATTTCGAGGGATCTTTTCACTGATTTAGGTTAAGTATTACCCCTTAGGCGAAACTGAGCACAAGTTACAAGTTAAACTTTTTTTACCAATTTTCAAGTTGCCCATGGGGCTAATCTCAAGCTTATTACCCCAGCCCAGGTTACCGTTGCCTGAGAGCTCAAGTCGCCTAGCCGGGAATCGAGCCCGGGACCTTTTGGTCACAGGCCCAATGCTACAACCACCACACCACAGGAAGCCAGCAAGTACTAAGTACAAGTTACCTAGCAGCAAATTTTAAGCTTGCTCATTCACTTTTCATTCCCTTAAACATTTCTAAAAAAAAAAAAAATCCCTAAGTCTTTTGATAACTCATTTTAAAAAGACGTAGAGTTTTTAAACTAAAATTATAATAGGTAGCTTTAATGGTTTATATTTTTTTAACCCCNAAAAAAAAAAAAAAAAAAAAAAAAAAAAAAAAAAAAAAAACCTGACTCCCTTTTGTAAAAAGAACCTTTTGTATGGAAAGAGGGCATGAAACTGGCCTATTGCCAGAATATCACATCATATGTGTTCCTTAAACTTGAACATGGAACATGTTTTATCATTACAGAATTATATTGATTTAAATTTAATCAGGTTTAAATCGGCAACGCTTTGAAACTTCCAACATGTTTCTCTTAAAACATTATTTTTCACCTACATACCATCTTGCATCCATTTTATTACTCCGTGACTAATGAAAGTTTTGTATTTTATCTCTCTGTTATAGACTTGACAACGCAGATTTCCCTTCTGACACCAGAAGATAAGGTAGATGAGTGCATTAGTTTCTCTCTAAAGGTTCAGTCTTCCTGGTGGCTGGGCAATTACCACCGATTGTTCAAACTCTACCGATCAGCCCCTAAAATGACTTCGTACCTCATGGACTGGTTCTTGCTGCGAGAGCGCAAGCAAGCCATCAAAGCTATCGTCAAGTCGTATGTATATGCATTAGCACCTCTCCTATTTCTCTTATCTTTCATTTTCTGTTTTCTTTGGTCTGTCCCTTGATTCTCCTCCTTGTACAACTGGTGCTGCTTGTGAAAGTTAGTTCTCCTCAGTATTCAAAAACACGTACAATGGCAGTAAGAGGTCATCGTCAAATGGTGCTGAAAGTTTTTAACTGTTGCTTTTTTTAGCCTAATCTTTCCTTCCACCATGAGCGAAAGTATGTTGTTGATTTAAATTTTTCCTTTGCCTCTCATTTGTCCTGAATTTTACCTCCAATTGTATTCTTCTTGTTCGAGAGTTAATCGCTACTTTTTAAGCAAGAGCTGCTCTTTATTTTCCTGGGCTAATCTTCATTTATTCTTTCAAGCTATCCTCAGCAATGCTTTGTGTCTCCCTTAATTTTGTTTCTCTAATGAACCTTGTCTAGTAGAAATTATCATCTAATCGCTTCTTTATCATTGAATGATTTGCATGGTTACCCCATGGATATTCTCACTTAGTTAAGGTTCTCTAGTTATTCATCTTATTCAAAGTGCTTCATTATACTTGACCTGTCAGGTTCGTTTCCATCAGTCCATCATCTTTCTTTTAAACCTAAACTAACCAGCATCATCATTAAAATTTCTGAAGTCCCTTCTCGATAAGGTTCCTGTACATGCCTTTTAGTTTACCATTCTTACTTACCCAGTCTTTGCTGTTTAAAATTTTCACTATGCACTAAGCTTGATTGATAATAGATGTTAGTGTACATTTCATTCATCAATTTGGGAACCTACTTTGTCTATTTCTTTGTCCAGTCTTAAACAACGAGGCTATCAGAAAGAGGAATCTCTATACTTGCCACCTTGTTCTAAGCATGTAGGATCTGCTCCTTCCCCCCCCCCTCCCCCCACGGTATGCATTGTGGTCCTCTCTTCTTACATTGTTGATCCTGACTTGAAACATCTTATGGACTTTAAGGTTCAACTGAGAAAGCGCATGATAGGTTTTAAAATTGCACTAATCATTCACTATTATTGACGTATTGCACCATGCTGACAATGTGAATCAACCGGTGAGTTGATTTATCATTGAAATTGAATTTCAAAGAAGGACTACTTTAAAATGCTCTCAAAAAGTAATTTGAAACTTCTTTCATTATGAGTGTGGTTAAAACGCAGGGAATGCCTGCCATGAAGATTGATTGTAAAGATGTAATTCGCAAACAGCCCTAAGTATGATAGGAAAAGTGCCACTTTGGCATCACTGAGCGCCCGCGAATGCTGTGAAATTGATGTATATGTATGTATGCATACATAATGGCTCGATTGAACCTATACCAGTTCATTCGATCAATTTCAGTCGTGTCTCTAGAATGCAATACTTGAACTTTCTCTTTGTTTCTCCTCTCTTTTCCCTTTTCTATCCTTTCTCCTCTCTTTTCCCTTTTCTATCCTTTCTCCTCTCTCTTAACATCATGCTTGTTTTGATTTGTGAGTGAGCGTTCGTTTTTGTACATTTTTTTGCGTGGGTGTGAGGATCTGTATTCTTTGTCGTGTGGAGGTCAATTCCAATGATTCATAATTTCCTCAGAAACTAAGAATATCAAGTGCTGCAGCTTACGAATATTTTCACCCTGATACAAGTGCAGTTTCAGGAAGGTTGTACCTTAAAAGGAGATGAATTGTTAAGGGTTTATTAGAACCAGTATGAATTGGTTAGAAACAAAATTGGGAGAGCTTGATTTTAAAGATAAATGAGCCTCCTTCATCTCAAATCAAGAAATTCAAGTCTGGGTAAAATCAGTTGCTGAAAAACTTTTCCTTCATAACATTACATATGTAACCTTTATTCTGTTATTCTTTAAAGCTGCTGCACTGAAAGTTCTGGCGTAATGGAAAATGTCTGGTTGTAGATATACCTTGTTTTGTATCAAAGCAATTTGTACTCAATTAATTTTATGTTTTGTTTTTGTGCCTCATTTTAGCTACCGGCAAGTGCTGCCTGTGAGTTTTGTCCATCAAGAGTTAGCGTTTGATGCCGAAAAAGATTGTCTAGAATTTTTAAGGTTGCTTAACATAATTATCATCGAAGAAGAAGAACTTAAGATCGATTGCAAAGCAAGCAGTGCGGCGATGGCAAGCTCGTAGGTCCTCTGAGGCGGAAATCACGCGCTGAAATGTGCGAAGTCGATCACTTGTGGCTTTTTTACCGCGAATATTAAGCTCGTTTATCCCGGCCAAATTTACGGATCGTTTTATTTCTGTTTTTAACCTAGCCGCATCTCGAAGCTGTGCATTTTCACCATTCATTTCATCATATTTGCCAGTGACGTGTGGACTAATAATTTCGGACTCGTTATAATTTAGTTCTCTCACAAACTATTAGAACAATTTTTTAATTTACCTACTTATCCCTTGAATTTTCAATTTTTCTTCAGCAGTCATAACGCAATTTAATATTTTCCATAGGAATTGGACTGTTAAAAATTGTCCCCCCTGGTGCCTTTATGAACAGTGCTGTTCCCCAATCATCCTCTTTTTTTGAGAGTTCAGTGTGGTCCCTTTTTTGCTTACAAAATTTCCTTTTACTTTCTTAACAGTATTGCTCGCCCCGATGAAGGAATTTTAATTTTTCAGTGATACCTCTGAATTAGGATTCAAGGTTATTTTCTTTATTTTCCTCCTGGAAGCCTCAAAGGAATTTCATTTGCCTCCATCTCGATATTTTTTGAAGTTTGATCAGTTCCATCCAAGCATCACACCGTGAAGAACCCTTCATCAGAACTATCACCTGTACCTGTTGCGCATTCTAGCTAGATTTTAACGATTTTGAAGAATACTCAAAGCAGAAATTCAGCAGAATCTTGCTACTCAGTTGAACTTGGCTGCAACTTTGCCAGCAAGAGATCTGGGGAAAGAAACAGAAAGACTTGAATTGAGATTTTTAGTATAATTCTTTTTTATTTTGAATGCTCGTGATGTTTAAGATATCACAGCAAGAGAGCCAATGACAAAAATAAGTGCTACTAATGAGGAGATTTTTTATTTTTTTAACATCAGTCACTTATCTCGAATATTGAAGTCTACAATAAGCGTTTGAAAATAGCCGATGCTGCATTTAACATGGTGGACGAAATATGCACTTTAATTCTGAATTTCTAGAGTGCACAAATAAAAAAATTCTAAAGCCAAGATTGGCGCAAATTATGCATGAACAAGTATATTTAAGCATGAATTATGACATGAATGCCCAGTTGTGTGAACGAAAAGTGAGTATCCGAAAGAATAGAACCACCAATAGATTAATGCCTGAGATAATAGCAAAGAATTTCTGAAGTCATCAACCTCCTTGGAACAAACATATTTGCATGAAGAAGGAAGGATGAGAATATTTAGTGCTGTATCATATGATATCAAACAACTGTTAACCTTTGTCTACATGAGATAGACACTTTAAGATAGAACAGTCGAAACCTCTTATGAATTTTTTCAAGAATTTTTTTACAATTCTAAGATTTATCTGTCACTTTTTTTTTGAAGAAAGTCCCAGAACAATTTTCCAATGATTGAGAACCTTCAGAAGAATTGTCGTTTGCCTTTTATAAACTTCCAACCACGTCAGAAATAAGTTTTTAAGATTTTACAATGTAACAAGTCTTATGTTGAATCACCTGGTGAGGTGAACTGGCAGAAAAACTCAACACAGTCATTAAATTGCTATAGATGAAGACTGCCCGTACATGAAATGAAGATGTTGTTTCAAGTGAAGGCCTGTATCAAGAAGAACTCTAACCAGGGACAGAAGCCAAGCAGTCATCTAGCCTAGAATAAAAGCAACATGGTCCATAATTGGATGTGCCAGCATCGCTCCTCTCAACAAGTCAACACCTCAACGCCATCATCAAACATCAGTTGTACCAAGAAGCATCCATCATCATCATCATCGTCATCAGCATCATCATCAGCTTCATATCCAACTGAATGAAGAAAGTGAGTCCCTAACATGCTTGGATAAGCAGCCACAAGAAAATGAAAGAAGATCTCAGAGGAATGATGAGAAATACAAGACCGTATCCGCCATATTCCTCACCAGCAAATAGAAGAGAGTTCTTAGAGTGCTCATTTCTCAAAAAAATACTAAATCAAGCAGTATGTCAATCCATTGTCTTTTAATTTCTCCTGCAAAACAAAGGGTATCTCTAAAAAGCTGATCAAAGAATTCGCTATTCTCCTTCTGACTGAGCGCACAGCTCTCGCCAATTAGGGAGAGCATTGCCTCTCTCTCATCGGTAAAAGCTGATTTTGTACCCAGTCAATGGAGGTGATAAAACTCAGATCGAAGCCAAGAAAAAGGTTTACAACTTTAAGTGTCTAGTTGAATGTGATTATTAGTCAGATGCTTGTCCAAGCAGTTAGTGGAAACAATAATTCAACTGAAAACTAACTTTCCATAATTGCATTGAAAGAAAGAAGAAATGAAGAACTAAGGCTCTGATGCCAATTCCAACATCTAAATTAACCAAATCACTGATTCCAGATGCCACAGCTGAAAAACGGTCAAAATGATCGGAAGTATCAACTAACCTGAGCGGCATTCGCATTTGTATGTGCCAAAATGTTGAAGTTGAGAAAACTATACTCCCAAGAGTAACACTGCTTGTAATTAGTTAATGGTGTTCTGGTGTTAATTCAGTTTCAGAATGACAATTGTTAGTGAGAGAAACTGCTTGATCATCAGCTCTAGTTTTTTAAAACTTGTGGTCAATGAGAAACATGTTCACACTGAAGAATTCAGATGAAGGAACCTCATTACACTTGACTTTGAACATCCGATCTAAGACATGAGATGCAAAGATTGCAGCAGTAAAGAACGAAGCACATAGAGAAGGAAGAAGAGAAGAAACATCATTATTATTATCATCATCATCATCACAGTAATAATAATCCTACATCCAAGAACTAGCAACCTTTTAGTGTCGGGCTGAACGATTTCAACCACGTTTTTCCGTTCGTTCGTATCGGTTAGCATCAAATTTGCTCGAGTTAAGCTGCAGCGCGTCTGGCATCGTTTCGCCATCATAAGTTTTTCGTGTGTGGTGTCTGGGGAAGGTGGGCAATTAATTTTTAATCTTGTTTTCAAGTCCTCCCTCCTGCCTATAACTTTCCTTATCCTTTTCATTTTAATCCCTACCTTTCCTTATCAGCCCTTACCGCAGCTTAATTCCTCTTCTCCAAGTATTTTTCAGTCTTTCTCTAGCTCAGAAGATTTCAGCTCTGGTGGTCCTCTCATTTTTGGAGCATGCGGTCTCGGAAGATGTCTCAGCGCTCAAACATATGGGTTTACGGATGTATCGTGTTTCTGCTGCTGGTTTGCCTGCAACTCCATTCTACCGTTGTCAACCGTTGCTGATGATGAAAGTTCCTCGCTCAAGGTGACGTCATTTTTCTTTCTTGACCTTCCATTAATGTTGGAGAATTATAAAAAGTTTACTGAAACTAAACTTTCTGTTGTATGACATCATGTACCTTTTTACCTAAATCTCTGTCTCATGCACACCAATAAACGCATAGCGCAGAACTTTTGTACTCATATCTCTGCCCTGTGAAAATTTGTTTGAGATAAGATCAGGATTATCTGCTGAAAATCCACTGTGTGTATAATCTTGTGTGAATTTACACTGTTTCAGCTCCATTTACCCCCTTTACCTTATTTAATCACAGCTTTTTTTGTTGGCTTAGATCTATGCATCTGAAACTGTAAGAAAAAATAATTTGATCATGATGCAACCAGACTCATTCACCACCCTACATCTGGTGCAAGTCCAGTGTCGCATTAAAGCCAAGTATAATTTATCAAATCCTTTATAATTTTCTCTGAATTACGAAGACAAATTATATATCCTCATCCTTCATTGACTTAGCATCACTTTTTTTTGCACGCTTGATGAGAATAGCCTCAAATATTGAGTCATTATTAGAATGGTTTTCACCAATGACTGTTCTCCCATTTTTTATTCATCATGAGTTTGACGACAAGCTGGCAAAAAAAGAAATGATTTCTGGTTGTCTGTAATTTGTATCTCACCAAATTTTTATTTTATTATGCTTCTTGATTATATGAGTCTCCTCAGTACAATAAGTCACTCATCTGACTTTCGCTCTCTTAGTTTTGAATATAATGTAAAAATATAATGAAAAAAAGAAAATTTGTGATCCCCAGTCTCCCAGATGGCTTAAAGTAACCCCTACAAATCCCAAAACAGCATATGCATGATGTCACATAGCAGTAGATATGTATGTATTTCTTGCACCTGTGATGCTGTCGCTGACACGTGCTTGGAAAAGAAATGGTCATAAATTGAAAGTTAAGAGGGATCTTACTCCGTTTATGGTCTTTCTATTTTGTTTTTTAGGAATTTCACTCCCAAATTTTGTCAGTAATAAAAACAAAATTCTTAAAAACTCAATTACAGGAACTATACAAATATCTGAGAAGTTAATTGGAATTGATTACAACATTAATTAACCTATATAGAAATTACCTTTAGTATTCAATATCAGAAAGCTCCTGTTGGAACCCTGCAGCCTTCTTGATCATCCTTTCTCTATTTAAATTTGGAGCCGACCCTTCCGTAATTTTGTCATCCATACCATCACTACTTTTCACTGACAATTTCCTCATTCCTCTTCATTTCTAGGATGTATATCTATGTCATTGATTCCTATGAGAGACGTTCCTCTCCGAAGTTTTTTTTTCCTATTGTTTTTTCATGATTTTATCAAAGTCATAAATTACGAACTGAAATATTGAACTTCATCTCCCACTAAGTATTTCTTTTATTCATGCATATGATCAATTTCCAAGGAATTGTTCTTATGCTCCAGGTGTGAGATAAACTTTTAAAAAAGTTGAAAAGACCTATTAGTACCAACTTTTTTCCGCAGTGAATTACTTTAAAATGTCTTGCTTTTAAACTGAGCCTCAAAAATGAGTGTTCACTGTCTTTTATATATTTCATGAACCATAGTTTTATGTTTGATCAGTTGAAAATTAGTTTCATCCGCCAAGGTGCGGATGGCCCCTGTTATTGGCTCAAATGACAACTTCCCATTCATTCAAAGACAAGCACCAGTTTTTTTCGAAGTATGAATGGTGAAATTCGACTTGTAAACATCATCATAAAATGACAATTAGGTTTACAACCGAAATTTCTGTTAAGTTATTTTTGTATAGTAGTTCGTCTCACTGTTTGCATGATCTTTTTATATCTACTGATGTATATCACTCAAGTTATTTATTATTTTTTGTTATTGTGCGAAAAGTTTTCTTTTGTTTTAGATTTATAAAGAAGTACATATTTCTGTATGGATAAAATGGCTGTGTAATAATGAACCCTTTGTACAGGATATTAACTGCAGAAGAAGATTAAATAAATGGGTTATCCCGTTAACATTGTTTTCATTTTTATTCAGAATTAAAGTCCTGTGGTAACTGACATTAATATTGCCTAGGATCCAGTTTTAGTCAAATTCATGTGCAATTCAGGGGAAAAGTGCTCTTGGATTCCAGAATTTCTTGAGTCTCCTATTTTTTCAAAGTTTTGCATTTGATACTTCCTGATTTTTGAAGAATGTACAGCAATGCACAATGCTTTTCATGATGAATTCAAAAAGAATAAAAAAAAAATCATGAACATGGGGGTGGAAAATTCATTTCAGGGTTTTGCTTGTTTTGGAATATAAGAAGATATTAGCAGAGGAAGAGCTTTTTTTCCTATTAATTGAATTGAGTGTTTTTGACTTCAGCTTATTGAGAAGAATTTATGAAAATATTGATACCAAAAGCTTGGATCAAAAAATCGAAATTTCTGTGGCAAATAAAATGTTAAGCACAAAAATTTCCAGACTTCATGACGTATGAAAAGCTTGCCATCTTGGCAATACTTTGATTTTGTCAAAAATCTGAGCCAATCTTAAATTTTTGGCCAAACAAACTCTTTGCCCCTGTAGGTACGTAATTCCGTACCAATGGTCAAGGAACAGTACTGCCCAGTTGCAAACTGCGGATTTTGCAAGATGAAGAAAAAACTTAGTCATTTTTGTAATGTTGAGGTTAGATTTGCGATTTTTTTTATATTGAACAGCATACAGTGCAGCTTCATTACAAAGCTCCCCTGCAGAATTGATAAAAACTATTAACAATAGCTTGCATATTTTATATTACCGTATACAGCAATGTTGCCAACTCATTTTTGCCAAAATTGTCAGTTAGGTGCTATTGTTCCTTGGCCTCGATGTAATATTTTTCAATCGAAATATTTGCATTTTAATTTAAGGAATGGAATTAAGTAATTGAAATTAATAGGATGCGTCTTTGAAAATAGTTTTACATTGTTTCCTCGAATATTACAATTTTTTTTGTCGCAAATGATTCCTAAAATTGTGGCCACGGGCAACTATCATCTTCATGGCCCATAACTCCAAGCTTACCCCAATTTTTGACCCATTGAATGCGATTTATCGCTTGCCAGTTTGACCACAACCAGATCATTGTACAACTTTCCTTAATGCAGATTAGAATCCAGGAAAATCAGAAATGTTTTCTGTTGAGCCTTAAATCAACAGTATAACATTCACCTTCAAATTCACTTCACGAAGCGCATTGTTGCTCTTGATGCTCAGAATTACTAACTTACAAAAAAGTTTTACAGTATCAGCTGCTGGCCGATTATTGAAAGTTTAAAGCAGCCCGATAAGATATCAAAATGCGATACATTGCATATAGTTAAGATGGAGCTATGCCTTGTCTTGTTGTGCTGACATAGTTTCAATAATCAGCTTGCTGGACTTATACACAATGTTGCCCAGCCACAACATTATCTGTTGGCAACTCAATATTCCTTTTTTCAATCCAACCTCAAGAACTGATGTACAACTTGTAAATATATTTTGAGAAGCAAGATCCATTCCAAGTTCTCTAGCAGCTAATAGAGCTCTAGAGCTAATACATTCAGAGTATTGAAAGAAAACTGGATTCTGGAAAATTTCATTACATACTTTCTAAATTGTATCAAGAGGTCATAAGGACCTAGCCTTTTCTAAAGGTATTACAGAATGAGATGTATTTCTGATGAATTAATCTGAAATATATTGCAGATGAAAGGGGTAGAAGTTGCCGCCTTCCTGGACATTTAAAACCAAAAAATACCACTCCACATACTGTAAAATATTTTATTTCGAAAATAAAGTGAGTTAGACACAGCATAGCATAACTCAGTAACATTATTACAAGTTCAATGATTCCATTAATTCCAAAAAAGAAAAAAATTAGCTTGAAAACAAAATATGTACATGATTTAAAAAACTGTCAAAGAAAACACCCATAGCAGACATTTTCTATAAATAAATCACTGTTACCATTCAAGGTATAGATGAAGGTAGACGCAAATATACCCCTAAAAAGAAGGGCCTGTTTCTCTCATTAAACCAGCTGACCCTGCAGATGCTAGAGATTACCTGCATGATAGATAACTGAGGACAAACACCTGTTTGCAAGAGATTTTGGGATTTATTAATCCTCAAAACTCTAGGCAGATTTTTTGAGTTAACTAGACCTTCAAATAGCAAGATGACCATTGGTTTGCTTTCAAGAGAGAGCACTCAGCTTGGGTATTTATTTCAGCTGATACGTACCTTTCATCCTCTTTGCCTGAGTTATGTTGCTAAGGAAGAGGGATAAAATTTCTGGCTCTCAAGATTCATCCATAGCACTTCATTCAATCTTTGGTGAAATGAAAATAGTTGAGGAATACTTTACACTGTTCACAATTTTTGTTCAGGTAAATCACAGCTATCATCCACTAAGACAAGATATTCATACATAAGGGAAAAGGGGGGCTTGAACAATGATGTATTTAAATAGTGTCAAAAGAGTAAGAAATGGGCGAAATTTCTGAAAAAATTTACAATTCTCTCTTAATAAAACTGAGCTCAGAGTATTCTCCGTACATAATACTATTAACACCAAAAAGCAAAAGTGTCTAACTTGTCTGAAGTCGGTGAATGTTCACGCCATTGTAACTGGCATAAGCTTCAATACTCTTCTTAACTGTCTTTCCAAGATTAGGAACAGCTTTGTTAGTTTTGTAAGAGTATGTAGACGACAGCAACAAAAAACTATGCTATCTGAATCTGAGTTCATCATGGATGAATCTTAATTTATTGAAAAAAAAAAAAAAAGGGGGGGGGGAGTTAGTGGATCAACAAGGTACAGCTCTGTGTTATTTTTTGCAAGGAACTTGAGGAAATAAATTGGTAAACCCTCAGCCATTGATGAAAATTTAAATTAGCAACATCAGTCTTTCATTGATGACAAAGCAGGAAACAGTTTAAAAACACCTCCCTCCCTCCTTATAATTGAGGATTTACTTTCTGAACTAATTCCTGGAAAACAAGTGAAGAGTCGGATTAAAGCAATACCCTGAATCCTTGACTCTGATACTTAAAAACGTGCAAAGGTGTAACAACCAAATAGTGAGAGAACCTTATATATTGAACAAATTTGTACTTTCTGATAATAAAGCACCTTGAGAGAACCATGACTACACAGGAAAAACATGATTAAATGATCAAAACAGTTAGAAGATGCAACAGAAGGCAATTGAAAGGCACAATGGAAGTTGTCTGAAAGTGACGACAGTTTATCAAGAAATTAGTTTTACACACAATGATCATAATTCAGACTTAAAACGTACCCAACATCCAAGACTGCAAAATAATTAGCGCAAAATTGACATGGATCCAAGAATATTTACTGTGCCGGAGACAATTTTGAGATTTCATACTTAATCGATGCGATAAATCGTACGCCAGAAACTGGAACAAATCACCTTAATACTGGATTGGAACAGCTAGGTAAAACTCAAATAATGCCTGATATCTAAAACTGTTTTCAAAGAGAATACCAGCATTATGGCTTCACTGTGCATTTTTCTTTCAACAGACTGAGAGTCAGACACTCGCTTGGGAAACTTATGTTACTTTTAGAAAGAGGTACTCATGCCGATTTGGTAAACCTGTCAATGGTGAGAAAGAAAATTACTCTTGATACATTAAATGTGGATTGCTGTCCTCCAAAAGAGCAATACTGTTCTTAGAAGTTGACTGTGAATTAAAAAAAGACCTAGAGTTTCCTTCATTTAACATACTTAATACAAGATCATTGTTGCCGAAGATTTAATAAACCCAACAGAACTGGAATAAAAATACTTTAAAAGGCACTTATGGCTACATTATTAAAGCGCAATATCATACTTGGCATTTAAAAATATTCCGTAACCTTCTTGAAATATAAAGTCACTACACATACAGATTGACAAGGCTGAAATGACGGTTTATCATACAAAATTGTTCATTTTTCCAAGTCTTTCAATTTTTTTGTTGATAAATTTCAGTTTGATTTTCACGATCAAAATGGGTCATTGATGCGACTGTTGAGTGTTGCTATTCAAAATTACGAGGTACCACTACTTTTTGATTGACATAAATTGCAAACTGAGTGTTGAATTAATGTTTCTTGATACTCTACTCAAGAATTATGTTGATGAAAACGTAGAGGCAACATTTAATTGAACATACTTCTGCCAAACGGAACTATGTGCATTAAGACATGAGCCCTGAGACCCATAAGGACATATGCTTGACAGGGCTCACGTCATAATGTGTATAGTTTCGTTTGACAGAACTACGTCCCATTTTGATAGGAAACTCTCAACAGTTGCATTAATGACCCATGTTGATCGTGAAAACCATGCTAGGACCATATTAAGATTTGATAAGTAGTGCGCTGGGCTCCCACGGTTCCAGTCTTGCCTCGGTATCATGATTACATTCTCTTTCACATCATCATCACAAGGTTAGTACATGAACGACTCAGATAAATAAGTCTCTTGACTCCACTTTGCGTAGCAAAAATATACATATGTAGTTACATTGACCATGAAATTAATAGACAGAGGTATGATATCCCTCACAAATCATTCCTTCAGAACTTAACGATTTTAACTGATTTTTCTGATAAGATGAATAAACACGGTGATAATGATTCTTCATGAATCAGAGAAGAAACATGGATTAAGAATTCCAAAAAACGACTTGGAACGATTTTTTAAGTCGGGTTTCCAAAGATTTGATGATTCTCTGCCTCCAAATTTTTAGTACCTTGCAGAATTTGAGAAATTTAAGAGAGGGGAGGAATTCAAAGCTATCCTTCAGATGTAGTTTTAAAAATTAGGTATCCTCTTAAATTCAAAGTTAACTTTAAAAAAGTAAAATTATAATTTACATGTTCTTTTGGCCACTTTATTGTCATAAATTTGACAGGAAGACACTTGACGAAAAAATCGAGTAAATCTATACTATACCCATATAAGTGTTTAAAAATTAACATATGAAAGATAAAAGTTTTAAAAATTCACTTCTTTAATACACTTCCAAGATTTGATAAAAATCATTAAAATAAGATTGTAAATGGACAGGGGGAGTTCTGTGGGACAATTTCCTGTCGTGACAGCCGATTGCTGCGCAACCTTGCGTGAGATCCTCATGATCTCAAGAGGATCCTTCTCCCTGAACGTCGACCCATTGAATGCTTTTCCTTAAGTTAAGCCAATGGTTGAAAAATAAACCATACAGCGGCTGAATTATAGAAAAATAATAACATTTTTTATGTTTTCCGACCCCTTTCACAACTGGTTCAGCTGTGCATGCTCCCTAATGTGGCCAAGATCGATTTATGGCAGATATTCAAGGTATCACGGATTTCCTATGACGTCCGAAATCAGTTAGTTGCAAGGATCCTCCGCCAGGTGGTAGCATTAGTAACTGCTCACAGATTTTTACAGATTTGGCTGTTACAGGAGTTTAGAGCCCTGTAGGGCTTGTCTCAGAAATGGACTGCTGAAAAATTGGACATGCTATCTGAAGAATTGTTTAACTTTAAAATTTCTCATCAAGATTCAAAACTGGAGCAAACTTCTAAAAATACTGTAAAGCCAACACCAAATAGGTTAGCAGATTCGTGGCTCCTCTGATGAACAGGCGTACCTCCAATTCTGCATGAGCCCAAGAAAGGATGAATTCAAACGTGAAACAGGGCTTAAGAGGAAATTCAGATATGCCGGAGAAGCAACGAACTTTGAGGGTGAAACAGGACATTCACCATCTTGACCCTCTTATTGACGCACAATGCTAAAATGAAAACGGCAGGCCTTCTGTCGCATTCTGAGGTGGGGCTTATTTAGTTTGGAATTCAATAAAAGCTTCCTAAATTTCATCGCACACAGAAAAAATTTTACCTAAAATACACAACATCCTTTGAGAGTAAAACAAGAAGTGGAGGGAAATAGTATTGAAATTTGGCAATTTGATAAAGATCGATAAAGATCTGAAAATGTTCTCTTCCAATATTATAAATACCAAGTCAACAGTAAAATACTCCGGGAAGAAAGGGGGGGGGGCATATAAAAATAACAGTTTGATCTAAAATGAGCAGAATCAGGCAGAAATGCAGTGTTGAAAAGTTGCTTTTAATTTTAGGCATTTCCAGTTAGGAATAATTTCCTTTACTGATTTCTTAATTAATGGGCTAATGCGCTTATCTTTGCAATGCATTTTTATATTTACGATGCTTTTATCTTCACACAAGATATTGAGACAAACGTGGAGTAAAATTTTAAGCATACTTTTCCAGCAATACATAACACAGGGATCAAGCATTGCTACCAAACTGCGGGAGATTTTTTAAAACAAATGCATAAAGGACAAGAATTTACTGGAAGTAATACATGAGTATTTCCAAATGCAAATTTATCATTTCATAGAATACTGCTGAAGAGTTTAGAAATGAACTATCCACTTGATAGGCACACATAATTGATTGACATATTATTTATTTTTATAATGCGTGACCCAAGTAAAAGGAGAATTTAATTGTTGGTTTAAGTGGCGCAAAGAAACTTTATTATTCACAACGTTGCCAACTTGCGAGTGAATTTTGGTCGCATATCTTTGTTTTTTGTCACCCTGTTGTTTATATGATAAAATTCTCTAAGAAAAAGGAAAGGGGAAAAAAAATTCTCCTCAGTCTTTCTCGGACCTCTAATCCAACGTTGATATAAATGCTCTGGTTTTGACTTTTGCAGAACTTTTAAGTACGGATTGCTGATGCTGGGGTTTCATTGTATGTTCTTATACGTTCTTGAATTTTGAAAGACCTAGGAGAGTTAGTGACTGACTTAATACAGCCATAAATATTTCTTTACAAATATATCTTTTGAGTACACCTGATAAGTGAGTTTAACTTTTGGCACTGTAAAGGAAAAATAATGTTGAAAACCTTCACTTTGAGGAGGCTGACTTACTTGGCTTTAGAACATATTTCAGCAAGTAGATTTTTTTCAGAATTGCAAAGTACTATTATGTTAATATTTAAAAATATTTGAAAGCTTAAAAAACCCTTGGTACACGCAGAGAACTGATACAGCATATTTCTGACGATTTAAGAGGGGAATAGGGAAAATTAAAAGATTACATCAGTCACTGAGAGGAAAAACAAGAGGGTTGAACAAGCCTGCCAATCTGAGCAGAGAAGTCCATGACAGACAAAGAATTTAGTTGCTATCAGGACGAGTTGGCAAAACTGAAGGGGGAGTTGGCTAATTTACACACAACAAGTAGACAAATTAATAAACATAACAAAATAAATAACAGAGATAAAAAAAGAGCTAAATAAATAAATTAAACAGTGAGTAGAAAAGCGAACCTTTGGATAAAGTAGTTAAAAAATGACTCGAGATTATTAACAGCATTCCACAACACAGAGAAGTGGGTAATCGGTGGTAACATGGATTCCAATGGATAGTGATGAAAATAGATTGGCTTTGATGAGCGATGAAATGATGTGTGAAAATCTGTACAAAAAAAAAAAAAGGATAGAATAAGAAAAAGTTTTACATAAATGAATTAAAAAATCCCAAACCAACAGAAAGTGAAAAACTGTACAAATAAAGAAAAAAATTGATTTACTTCAATGAATATTATCGAAATGAACAGTCAAGAAAGAAATAAGGATGTAACTAGTTCCCTCCGCTCAAGGAATATTTATCCTCTTCTGACTTTTTATTCAATTTGTTCATTTGCTGATTCAGCTTGAAAAGGCAGAGCCCTCATGAAAGATACCTACATTGAAGGTAGTGGCTATTTTGAATAAGGTTGAGAAAAAGAACCAAAAACGACTGCATTGTTAAAATGGAAATTTTCTCAGCTTTCAAAACATGAAATTTAGCCATTCAGACACAAGGAAAGACTATTTTTCCACAATCAAAATTTTTCTGCAACTTTATTACGGAAAATTAATTAATTCTCACGTTTGAGTAGGTTGACAGTTGGACATATTAATGCTAAATGGAACTATGTGCGAGTAGAGCTCGTGCAAGCTGCATAAAAAACAATGTAAAAGTGGATACAGTTCCTTTTGAGAAAATGGAAAAGCGGTCTTTAATATTAAATCAAAAAGAGTTAAAGACTGACGACCTAGGCGTCGTTGCTCTCGTCGCCTGGCATCGAGCCTGGTCGTCACTGCTGACGTCACTGGCGGTTTTAAATTCCCATTCATTCTTATGGCCCCAGCACTAACGAGCACACCCCATCTTTCCACTTGCACATAGTTCCATTTAGCATAAATACGTCCAGTTTATCTACTGATAGTGAATTTATCTTCATGGCTGTAGATAGGAAAAGGCGCAAGCACTCATAATGGCTTGCTTCAGCACAGACAATTGAATTTTTTTTTTTTTTTTTTTTCAACTTAAAAAATAAGGAGTAAAGGTTTCAAAAAGGAAAAATAAGCCACTTACTTGCTTAAGAGAAAGACTCTGCTACTCAAAGTTAAACCTCGTCAGGTGCTAAATCTACAGTATCATTATCTAAACTGTTATTGACTGTTTCTTTATCATTTTCGGCATCTGAGCCAACAGCTTTGGCCTCTAGAGCTTTAATTCTATTTTCATGCTTCACAATCATAGCTTTCAATTTTCGAATCTCTTCCTTAAATTCCTTGATTATGTCATCCTAGAAGAAAATAAAAATTTAAGTGAATAACAAGTTTGTAATATACACACTCCAAGATTTTCTTTTCCATGACTGAGTGAAAAAGAAACGTGAAACGAATCATAATCATTCTAATAAATATAGCTATTCATGAGAAAAATTTAAAAAACTAACTCAAAAAGCAGTTCTTCTGACACGGGTTTAACGGTTGTAGTTAGATCAAGCATCTGAAATCGAAATGAAGGAAACTGTCAAAATGGAAATGTTTTCTGACTCCTTGAACACTGCGTCAAATGCTAAGATTCACCTTCAATATGCCCTCTTTTGGATAATTGCTTTCTATTTTTGCCTTCAGCTCCCCACCTGTTTTAAACGAAAATCTGACTTGGTCAGAAATTCTTTCCGTTCCCTTGAAATTTCTTTATTAGCGGATAAAAAATGAATGGCGAGCTTTTTGAAAATAACTGAGTGGAACGTAAATAACTTACAGGTACAGAGGAGGAAGAAAGACCATCAACATGGGACCCTGAGTTAGTTTGTTCGCTTCTTGTGGCTGGTGTTGAAGCTGCGGAGCGTTTTGAAGAAGATTTATCCAAAACATTACTGTGCTTGGCCACTTTGAGGTTGGAGCGCGCGGCTGAGGGGGGCACAAACCCACTCTTCAACGATATTAACATCGGCTCCGCATCTTCACCTGAGAACCAATCGTCAGCCGATATTGCTGACTGACACCCGAGTGTATCTGGATACAGGTCTTCTTGGAACAGCTCCGACTGAAACATACGGTAAATATTAGCTAAAATGAGCCACCTGAGAATGAAATCCTAGTTATGAAGACAAGGTGGAGTAACGGAACCATAAACCTCCATTTGGAGCCTCACAGATTAACTCTTCAGTTTTTGTCAGAATTTTTATCATTATAGCCTGAAACTTCCGTCTCCTCAATCGAGATCATTCTCTAACTTGTAGTATAGACCTAATCTTGGATAAGCGGTTTTTTACTCACCGAGCCTGGCAATACAAGCAACCACAAAGGCAAAAAAATACACTTGAATGGTCTTTAAATCAATGTTCATGGCACTAGAGATTAACTGTAAATTTAAAAAAAAAAGAAAAAAAAAAAGAGAGAAATATTTTGAAGGTAAATAAAAGTTAAACTTTTGAGGATGAGTGGGCCTGTTACAAACTTTTGCTGGAGCAAAAATAAAAGTTTTCGCCTGAGAGAAAATGTCCTAAAAATAACAATGAGCGCATCGGCAAAGTCTAAGATGCACTCCTAACTTCACAATCTACGTTAGAAATTCACGTTTTCTTAGCTTCCCCTTTCAAAAACGATTCTACAGCACAAGTGAACAATTCATTAGAGGAGTCGTTCCGTCTAAGTCCTGCTTGTCAATAGGATGCTACTCAACATTCAATATGGCCGACACTAATCCGCCAAAACACTTGTGAAGGGACGAAATTCTAACCACCTGATAACAATCAGCGTGTTTACATTCACATTTTTCTCGCATTGAGACTGTTGAGAGATGTCCGCCTTGAATGACCTTGTGCTCCCCTCGACTTATACTTGGCAGCATCAGCCATGATGGATATTGCAAAACATCCTATTGAGGAGGGGTTGAATGGCATGACTACTTCAACAAAATGTTCACCTGTACCGCAATATCGTTTTTGAAGCGGGAAGCTCAAAAAACCGCAATTTTCTTGCACAGGTTGTGAAGTACGGGGTGCATTTTAGAATTTGCTGATGAGCTCATTGTGACTTTTGAGACATTTTCCATGAGAAACATTTCTTATTTTTGCTCCAGCAAAAGTCTGCAACAGGCCCATTCAAACGCAGATTCTTGTGAATGAGGCTCCTGATTCTTGCCTTGGTGCAAGAGCACTCCGATGAAAGATGCACTTGCTCTTGTCACATTTTAGCCGCCAAGAGCAAAGAGCCTTTCATTTTTTGAAGCAACTCCACTTGAATCTCACCAGCAACAAACTCATTTTTCTTCCACTTTTTAAAAGACGTTGTTCAGTCCATTGACGAAAATTAAAAAACTTGTCACAAAAATCTTTCTGACAAATCTCTATACTAGGTGGGTTACACTCCTATAACGAATTCATATATTTGGAAAATTCATTCAAAGGAAGGCATACTTTCACAATTATAGAATAGATGTCCATGCTTTTAACAAACATAGGCAAAAATCTGAAAGCACCATGGTGAGAAATACTCACTTTTCTTGGAACTGTCATACTGATGACCTGACAGAAGCCTGAGTTGTTGAGCCGGTAGAAGCGAGAGATTTCGCACGCGTTGACATCACAGCCGCGCTTTGGCATCATACCAATACCTCGTTGAGGGTCTGGTGTTTGAAACGTGTTGATGTAATGCACAAATGGAGGCTCCTCAGTAATTTCAAAATATCGTAAAACACTATCACCCTGGAACATTGCCGCACAAAAATAAGAAATTTGGCGAGGAATTTAGGTTGAGTTAACTTCTTCACTGTTGGACTGGTCTATATGACAACCAGCCATGTGTTTATAGGGTGTCTAACGACTACACTGGTGCAATCTATGTCTTAAATCAGCTGTGTTACATGAAGCACACAATCTTATGCTCTTAACCATTAGATTATTGATAATATTTCCCAAACTATCCCTGATTATCTTTAACAAAAACTTGGGAAGCATAAATCTTGGGAACAAAATTCTTTTAGAGTCTTATCGGGTTTTCTCGTAAAGGTTTATTGATTTTTATCTACAAAATGAGAAATTCTGAGGAATTTATTACTTTTCCAAGTCTTCATAAAGGACCCCGCGAACACCCTTTCATGAGGCTGCAAGCCATGATTGATTTCCCTTTTTTTAATTGCATTGAACTCGCCTATGGATGCTGATCAAAGATCATCATTGCGCTAACTTTCAATGGGCTACTGTTTTCACACGATCCGTGATTGAAGTTTTAATATTTCCTTGAATAAAAGTAGGCAGCGCAGCAATAAAAAGTCAAAAAGACTCCTCTTTCTCTCAACACTTAAGAGCGGTCTAGATAAAAACATGGAAAAACCCAGCCAGTGAGAGGTAAAGAAGAGAGTGGGAGAGAAGAGGAAACTGATTTAGATGGTCAAACGAAGGGGTGTGCAGAATCCGAGATAAGACTGTCGCTCAGCAGTAAATATAAAATGCTGGCTTTTCCCTCATTTTCTTATTGAGACACAACGAACTGTACTCCAATGCTGAAATAAGGGATCTTTTTGACTCTTTATCGCTGAGCTCCCTCCTTTAATTCGAGAAGTTATTCAAACTTCAACCGCAGATTGTGAGAAGGTACCTTGTAGAAAGTTGGCGCAATGATTATATTTGATCAGTATCCATTAAAGAGTTTTAGGCAAAAAAAAAATGGGAAACCAATCATGTCACACATCTCTATGACAGGTTTCAAGGGTCCCTTGAGGTTTCCTTGTTTCTGAGCTTGCCTGTATGTATGAGGCTTTGGCAATGCTGAATTTGATTTTATTTCGAAAAACGTGAATATTTTTCCGTATAATTCAGCAAATTCACTATCAAAGACAGTTAATTTTATTATGATTTCTACTTTAAGGTATTGGCATTAAAATGAACTAATAAGTAAAATAATAACAACACACCTTTCCGCAGAGGTAGACTAGATTGGTATCAGGATCATACAAAGGGAACATTACTCCATTAGATGTGTCTAATTCAACCATGACTATTGGTTCTTCAAGATATTTTGGAGCTCGCAAAGAGTATTGCCGCTCGGACATTTTACTAAACCCTGTAGTAAAAACAAGGCCTGACTTCAGGAAAATAGCTCGCGTAGCTTTGCTTCCCTCGTGACAGACAGCTTCCTGAAGAATAAAACAGAAAACCAATGTGAACATAAGTTATAACAATAATAAAGAGTTTGTGATTGATTGTGAGCATAAAAACGAACGCAATATTCAGACTTGTATCCTAGCAGTTCTCATGTATTTCAAAAATTTAAACAGCACTTTGAAAATGTATGTCAAATATTCAGGACTTTTGATACATGATCTATTAAAAACATAAATCATAACCCCCACCCCTTCCCCCAGAAAAGTTTACGATAAGATGAAATACTTCATTTAATGCAAATGAGAGATTATCAGACATCTTCCAGAAACCTGAACATAAGTACTTATTCAATGTTGAAACTAAGAGAATAAAAGAAAGTAAAGCTTCACAACAAAATTATAAAATTAAGTAAAAAATGTTACTACTTAATGAAAAATGAGAAAAATAACTAAGTATACAATAACATTTCTCTTCAGAAATGATTTAGTGTTCATATTTTTAAAATTTAAAAAAAAAACGAAGAGTAATGATTAGCATTCTTGCTTTCTTTGTATGACCTTAAGAAGCTAGGTTCAATAAGCACTTTACCACTAGCTTCAACCACGGATGTGAAAGTTTTTGGTCTTTCCATTAAAAAAAGAAGAAAAAAAAAACCACCCTGTATCCTCAGAATCTCAACAAGATGGCCTTTTTGTGAATCTGTGCGTTAAATCCATGCGGTTTTGCAGAAAACAATTTTTACTGCAATTTCGCAGGTGATCCCACTTTAACAACTAGTTTTTGGAGCCTTTCCATTTTTGTACATGACTGGTCGCATGGCCAAGAAGTTTTTGCACCCCTGGCTTCGACTGCAAAATTCAACCATGTATCCTTATCACAAAACGCAGTCAAACTCCTTACTTAATTTCAATTAAAATGTTTAGTAAATGATCTACCTCTATGACTTCCCCTGTCCTGGGATTGATGATTCTCATCTTCTTGTCTTTACAGGTTGTTAGCAGTTCAGAGCCGTCCCAGTTCCAACTAGCACTGTAGACGATATCTGGATGACAATCTATGTTTATCAGGACTTCTCCTACTCCAACATTCCACAGAACTACCTGGTTGTCAGATCCTAACATGTAAAAGAGAAAATCAAAGAGAATGTTAATTGAGACATTAATATGAAAATATGAATAAAAACAAGGTTAATGAACACCGTGTTTCACTGTTTCAAAAACCATGTCACGTCCGAGCTTAAGCAAAAGAAAACATGAATGGATTCTGAAATTCATTTATGTTCTCTTCCAGTTACCTAGAGGATAATGCATAGGCTTATTCGGTTTGTATTGGCATTGTTTCCTTCAAGATGAAGATTCATAACTGCATGAAATCTGACTGACTCAAGGTGTCAAGGAAAAAGCATGCATTTTCATCACTGTCCAAAACAAAGTTCGCAATGGATCACTAGACAAGGTTCAAATTTAAGCATTATGGTTTATAAATATATATTTTCCCATCAAAATTTCACTAAGAACACGATTTTTACATACAACAAAAATTATAGAAAGTAAGTCGTTTCAAGAATATTTACGTTTTTTGATGCATAAATTCAAACCACTTGCATTTGAAAAAACAAAGGTCTGCATAAGTCAAATCGTGCGCTAAACGGTACTGTAATAGTCTCTGCGGTATGAATATACGGCAATCTCAATTAGCTGTTGTATGATGTTAATACTTTGAACAACACAAGGCGGGGTAGAAACACTGCTGAAATAAAAAACCTGCCAAAACTGTTTCAAAGCAAGTTTTAATTCAAGTGTACTATTGTTTTCCCTGTGAGTGGGGAACTTGAAATTGCCCTAACCAATATAAACTAAAAACATTAATATCTTAGGAGCTGATTTCAGTAATTTTCGTTGAGTGAGTCATGTTCTACGGGAAATGTTGGTTCGGAAACATGTATTAGAATGCTGAAATTTGTGCCTTGTCTAGTGGTCTACTATTGTAGCTGAGTGTCTTGCTCTTGACATTGGACTAGACTACCAAGTTATTTACGCTCATAGAGCCCTTTCTTCAGCCCCACTTTGGAATGAATTGTTTTTAAAAAAAATCCATCATTGAGATTCTTCACTAATTAGGTACTTGATTTGATTATTTTGTTAATTCTTCCCACAGAACAAATACAACTTTCCCGAAAAATATGAAAAATTCCACAAATTCATACCAGCTGTTAAGAGTACATTTTCTGCAGTCGGGTGCCAGAGTACAAGGCCGACTCTTCTTTGGTGATAGAGGAGATCTACAACGGGTTCAGTGAGGGTCCTTGAAATACCTCCATCAGGTATCTGCCACACTTTGACAACACAGTCTTCTGAGCCACTGGCTATGACGTTATCATTATGCGGACACCATGCTATATCTAAGACAGGCCCTTTGTGGCCTCCAACCAATGGATGATCTGCAGCTATTCGACCAGCCTGCAAAATAATCGATAGGAATTCGTTGTCAGTAAAGAGCTTTGCAGCATTTGACCAGTGATAGGGCCAAATTATAGGGTAAGCACACAAGATAGAATTGTTCAAATTTACCGACGTTTCAAAACTTTTGGCTCCAGACTAAACTTCTAGTAATGCTTGGCAAAAACATCTGAGAAAAAGTTGAAGACAATTTATGAATTATGGGCTGTATTAGAAGATATTTCAAAATTACCGCAAGTTTCTCAATTTTTCCAGTTTTTTGTCCCTTCTAACAAAAATTTGGAGCATACGTACTTACCTCCTTCGTTGGAGTACTTACATTATTTTCCACTCTTTAAAGCGGTGAATTAATAAAGGAGGAATTTTTGGTGGAATTCGTTCTAACGTTTATTCATACCCTCCACGATGATGAAAAATACCGAAACACTTGGTTCCTGATAAAATTGTTCTTCCTACCTAATCTATATATATATGGGTGTGTGTGTGTGTGTGTAAAACTTGTACACACCGACAGAACTCATTTTTAAAATCGTACCTACAGATTCCTAGTTCTGGCGTAAGTGAATGTGTCCTAAGAACTAAATTTAGAATTCAAAGTTTTAAAAAGGTGAAGAATGAGGAATCAAAGTTTTGAATCTTCTTTAATTAAGATTATCTTGTCCTGAGCTTTCGCATGATCTGACAAAATCAGATCAGAAGAATCATATCGTTTATTTCCTAGCAGGTGTTGTTTGAGGTTTATAAGGAGACTAGAAAAGATCGGATTCACTCTAACCAAAAGAACAGTTTCTTCGGCAGTTGCTTGTTCGAGTTGTAAAAATATTTATTGCATCAAAGGAACAACTTATAATTACGCTTAGAAAAATTTCAGTTTGATACCAAAAGTTTCCTCGTTATAATGTAGTTTTTTTAAAGGGTGACAATTATACAAGTTTCATTATGAGAAGGAGACCTTCAAAGTTATGATTAACATTTTACCCGACTTAATAGAGACTTTGCAGGTGTCATAAATTTTGTAAATTTCATCTTTGAAATGATACTGTTAGGAAACCTGAGTAAAATGATATCCTTGGATTCTAAATTTGACAATTATTCGAGAAAATATGACAAAATACCCTAATCTGCTAAAATACATGTGTTCAGATGGAAAATGCCGCCAGATGACGTCATAAGGCGGCACATTTTTTCACTTTTACTTAAATCTATTTTTCTCCGATTTCCCATGTCAGAAAAAAAAATTATGAGAAATACTGCGAACTCAGCTCATTGGGCACCCTCAGATGAAGCAATAAAATTTTTATGTGCAAATTCTGCATTAGTCACTTCTTAGGCGCGACGATAATTTTCCTAAGTACAACCAGAAGCTGTCAAGAAAATTGTCTTATGATGATGAAAACGAAATCTTTGACTGGGAGTAAATAAATAAACAATAAATAGATAATAAATAAATCGGACAACTATGCCCTCGCCTCCTCGGTGAGTCTCAGCATCTGTGAGCCATTCCTCCACCGATCTCCCACGGCGAACAAGGGACACCGAGAAGTGGGGGGTTGTCGAATCTGTGCCAAGAGAAGGCGAAGCTTGTTTCCCGTCAGAATTTTCCTTTTTCCACGCCTACCCCACGAATTCTTATTTGAACTGTTATGAAAGCCAATTATTGTTTCCGGCGCCCGATTACGCGCTTGTACCTCCAATTGATCAGTTGGGCGAGAGCGGGAGCAAATATATTTTCGCGGTCTGTTGCTTCTCGTGTCATGGCTCCAAGTTCGAATGACGTGGGCGCGTTGCCCCAACTCACCGTTGCTCCAACATGATCGATTATATTATCGATATTGGAGATGTTGCATGTGTGAGGGATTTGCGATTTGACCATTGATTCTTATGTAAAAGTTCGCGAGGAACACGATGGTGCCACTGGTTTTCTCTGAAATCATCTCCCAAGCTCAAAAAAAGCTCTCAAAGTGAGTCTAGAATGGAGGGGATATCCCACGTTATCCTGAGAGCCCACCTCTTCATCAAGACAAACTCTCCATGCAAAGATAGGGAGCAAATACATTGACAGGGCTGCCACTTTATTTGGGGACTCCAAAACTGAAAACACGGCAACCCTGCTAATGTCTTTGCTCCCTATCTTTGCATGGAGAGTTTGTCTTGATGTAGAGGTGGACTCTCAGGGTAGGGTGGGATATCCCCTTCATTTTGGCCTCACTTTGAGAGCTTTTTTTGAGCTTGGGAGTTGATTTCAGAGAAAACCAGTGGCCCCATCGTGTTTCTCGCAAAATTCTACACACTAGTAAAAAGTCAAATCGCAAATTCCTCACACATGCAACATTTTCCGTTTAAAAAATAAAGTATGACAGGAAGTCTGCAACGTCGCAAACCAAGTTATGTGATTGCCGACTTACACCGTCGATATACTCTAGGTACCGGCCACACTTGACGAAATATTGCATTCATATCAAGAGTGATGGGATGGAGCCTGCGGGCACTCGGTTGACAGAAGCGTGGCGCCATCTGCGGTGGAAACCACGTTCAGTCGAGATCTCCGTTGAAGTCATCCGATAACTCAGCCGAATTTGGCTGCCCGAGGGGCGGGGGAGGAGGGGGAGGATTCGCGGTGGGAGCGAAAAAAAACGAGGACGGGATGAAATGAAGCGGACGAAAGAAAGGGAGAGCGAAAAGCAGAAACAGAAACAGGGAGGGAGCGGCGACGACCGACGACGCGACGGGGAGATGGAGAAGAAGAGATTTATCTGTTGCAACAGGAAAGCCGGCGGAGTTGCGATGTTTCGGCGGGAATCCACCGCTCCCGAGGATGATCCACTTCCGAGAGGAATTCGAATGAACAACGTACCACCGCATCATCAACGCGATGATGCGGTGGTGCAGCGTGGTCGTGATGCACGGATATGACGGTTGCGAGCCATGTCGCCGCCGTGGAAACTGGGACTGGGCTCCCGAAAAATCGGAATGCATTGGGAGTGACGGGACACGAGATGTGATCCACATTACAACGAAAACGAAGAACGTCCGTTATCCAACGGAGCAACAGAAGGGTCTAAATTATTCGCAGTTCGGATTCCACTGAGGGAAAAAAGTATGGTCTGAGTGACAGTGATACAAGTGTGGTAATCATCAACGGATCATATGGTCGCGAAGACCCGAACTCGAAGCGGATTCACCATGAGTATACACGAAGAAAAAAACCTCGTACGTGGGACCCGAAGTTTAGGTCATATGGATCCCTGAAGTTTTCAGATCGAGTATCTGAACACTTAAGGTCTAACTGCCGAAGTTCAGGTCTGACATCTGAAACTTCAGTTCTTACATCTGAAGTACTTCGGTGTTTACATCCGAAAAACTTTGGTTCTCATATCTGAAGTACTTCAGATATAAGAACTGAAGTTTCAGATGTCAGGCCTGAACTTCGGCAACTAGACCTTAAGTGTTTAGATGCTCGATCCGAAAACTTCAGAGATCCATATGACCTAAACTTCGGGTCCTACGCACGAAGTTTTTTTCTCCGTGTAGTAAATGCTACAAGATATCTGGTAAACTTTACCCTACAGTATCAATACTTGTCAAAATTCAAGTAGACTAATACCGGAAGCTACCATTATCGTTATTTCCCTAGACTATGATCCACGAGGAAAGGGACCTTATGGCTCTTCGTATTCAAACTGGCGGCTTCGAAGGCGCGCATCGATGCCTTATCCAGCCCTCTCATTGGCCAGCAAAGCAGTTAGGAATAATCGATAAGCATGGGCGAACCTGGGGGGAAGGGGGCCTTCAAAATTTGTGGGAGACCTCATCAATAAATAGGTACCTACGTGACAAAGATTTCATCTTCGAAATTGTGATTCTATCAACTTTTCTATTCAGGTAACTCAAGATTGCCCTCGAGACGACTCATTTTTGAATAAATTTCTCTAGACGGCCTACTCGGCCCTCCTAACCCCCCTTTTTTGAAGCTGGAGGAGTCTTATGGACCGCCTTCTGTGGGATGTCTTTCGGTGCCCCCCCCCGATCCCCCTTGATATGATACCTTTCTGCCCCCACAAATAGTTCCACTTATGCCGATGAGCCCCTCATGGATAAGGGTCCTATGCTCACGATCTTGGGTTCTCGTACTGGCCCGTGCGTTCGTCACATGCGATCATGAATCCATTCGTATGCAAAACGCGAGCTAAAACGATTACGAGAGAAGCAATTAAGTATCGCTGCCTTCCTCGGTCGAATCGAGTAATTACGGCCGTAAGTACATTTGAAGACAAAACAATTATTCGACCTGCGTCAGGTTGCTCTGTAACGAATATGAGTGAGGAGTTCCGATCCGACGAGCATCGAGGAATTAGAAGAACCAGAATTTGCACGAAGAGGGTACGGATGATGCGCACGTGCCTATTTTGACTTCAATTTGCGAGGTAGGCCAAAACACTTTCTCCAGGCGCAGGCAGCAATATCTAGCAACATCTAGTCGAAGATTTGTGTCTTGTGATGTCTACAAACCTTAACTCATGGTAAAGAATGTTGAGGTACATCAGAAGTTTTATGCTAATCGCGATTGTCTCTTCAAAAATCCACGATTACTGATAAATATTGTGTGGTATGAGAATATTAATTTCCTAAAATAATGATATTTCATTCTCAAATGAGATCATGAGTGACAAATCCTTCTTCAGTTAAAAGGGAAACAACTACTTGTTTAATTTTCATAATGGAGATGTTGCATGTGTGAGGGATTTGCGATTTGACTGCTGTTTCTCATGTAAAAGTTCGCGAGAAACACGATGGTGCCACTAGTTTTCTTTGAAATCAACTCCCAAGCGCAAAAAAGCTCTCAAAGTGAGGCCAAAATGGAGGAGATATCCCGCCCTACCCTGCGAGTCCACCTCAACATCAAAACAAACTCTCCATGCAGAGATAGGGAGCAAATACATTGACAGGGCTGCCACTTTATTTGGGAACTCCGAAACTGAAAACACGGCAACCCTGCTGAT